TGGCAGCATTAGCTGAAAAGCAATTTCAGCAATCTGACCATAAGAAAGGGCTGATGGTAATTTTCAGGTTAGTCATTTGCTTCGAGACAAAAAATAGATCTAATGTCTGACCCCAAGTGTGGATCAGGCCCTCACACAGGTAGTCCTCAATTTACAACCATTCATTTAGTGGCCATTAGAAATGATAACATTTCTAAAGGCTTAGGACATTTTCCAGAGAATTTGCAGCGTTCTCATGGTCGTGATCAAAATTCAGATTCTTGGCAACTGGCATGTGTTTATGACTAGCAATGTCTTGGTGTCATGTGGTCACCTTTTGCAACCTGACAATTTCAATGGGGAAGCAAGATTAACAACTGTGTTACTAAATTAATTGCACTGATTCATTTAACAGCTGGCAAGAAAAGTCATAAAATGGGACAAAGCTGTCTTGCTTGGGCTCAGTTGTGGTCATAAATTGAAGACTACAAAATACAAGGTTGCTATGAAATGAGCCCCTCCAGATTTACATCTCCAAAATCTAGCAGCCTTGCAGCAATGGAATCAAGCAACTTAGGTAGGGATGTCCTTGAGCAGCAGGGAAGCCAGTGCAACAATTAACTTGCCCTAGGGACCAGCTTCAACCACAGGGTCTCCTATCCAATTATCTGATTGTGTATTAACATGCACTTGTTGAGTACAATTGTTTAATCTGCTCTGATTCCATCTAAAATAGCATAGTCCACTTCGTATTTTCCCATCTTTCTACTGAACTCTCATAAGAGAATTTATTAATGTCAAGGTACACTGTATTCACTGCATTCCTGTGGTCAACTAAATTGATCAATCTGTCACTATCAAACTGGTTTGACAAGATTTACTGTTCATAAATCATGCTGGCTGTTACAAGCAATCTATTATTTTTTAAATGCTTACAAACCAAATGTACAATAAGGTATTCCGCTGATGTGCTGTGGATAATGAGCTGATTGGTACTTAGTTACCCAATTCCTCCTCCCCTTTTAAAAATAATATTTGCTCTTCTCAGTCATCTGGTAGTCCACCTGGATTATCCCACTTTCAGATCAGGGATGAAGTTGAAAGGGTTACTACAAATTGTTTTGTTTTACGTTGATTGTAAGTATTTATAATAGGCTGAGAGCTATGTTGATTGTAGCTTATAAAAATAGTATCTGCTGCTGCTAACAGTTATTTTCTTGGGAAGAAGGCCCTTGCTCAAGGAATTTATTATTTTCTATAAATTTCTTTTCCTCCCTAGGTGGTTTGTTTACACACATACTACTTTCTGAAACATTTTCACCTCTGAGCACTGCAAAGCACTGCATGAGTCTATCTGTATCAGTTATTTGAAAGTGTACCCATATACAAAGTAAATTGGAATAATACAGAGTGACTGAGGTGGGGGGAACAGACGGGACAGCAGGTTACTCTCTTCAACTTGGTGCTCTGTAACAGCACACTCCCCAGTATACCTGCTTTATGACCAGCAAGGTGCACCACCCAGACACCATTTTGTGAGCATGACCACACTATGTTCTCAAAATTGCTGATCATCAGCCCCCCAAATCTGTGGGTTCTGGGTAGAAATTCTATTTTTCCCAATAATTTTATTAAAAATTACATTAAACAATACAAGAACCTAATAAAAATGTTAAGTGTGGAAGAACCCTCCAGAAGGACATAGTAAGAAAAAGAATCTTTCCCCTTCATTCACAGCAAGTATATTTAACATTAACTTTTTGCTGTCTCTTAAAATACAAATAACACCTTCATTCCATGCCATACCACATTTGCTATAAACGGATCTCTAAATCTTCAGTTCTCATTAACCAGCAAAGGTCCAGTAAAAATGAACAGAAATACCCAACAATGTACAGTGCATTCAGAAAGTGTTCAGACTCCCTTCACTTTTGTCAATGTTGTTATATGTTGCAGTCTGATTCTGTAGTTGTTGAAATTCATTTTTTTCTCATTAATCTAAGTGCCTCATAATGAAAAAATGAAAATTTTAGAAATGTCTGTAAATTTATTAAAAATGAAATACCACATTGGCATAAGTACTCAGACCCTTCACTCAGTACTTTGTTGAAGCACCTTTGACAGCAATTACAGCCTTCTTGGGTATGACGCAACAAGCTTTGCACACCTGGATTGGGGGATTTTCTGCCATTCTTTCTTGCAAATCCTCTCACGCTCACTCAGATTGGATGGTGACCATCGGTGGACAGCCACCGTCAGGTTTCTCCAGAGATGTTCAATAGGATTCAAGTCAGGGCTCTGGCTGGGCATTCACAGAGTTGTCCCTAAGCCACTCCTGTGTTGTCTTGCCTGTGTGCTTAGGATAGGTGTCATGTTGGAAAGGGAACCTGAGATCCTGAGCGCTGTGGAATGGGTTTTTATTGAGGATATTCCTACACTTTGCTCCGTTCAATTTCCTTTCAATCCTGGCCAGTCTTCTAGCCCCTGCTGCTGAAAAACATCCTCACAGCATGGTGCTGCTGCCACTCTTCACTGTTGGGATGATATGGGGCAGGTTCTGAACAGTGCCTGGTTTTTCAGACATAACATTTAGAATTGAGGCCAAACAATTCAATCTTGATTTTATCAGATAGAGAATCTTGTTCCTCACAGTCTGACAGTCCTTTACGTGTTTTTTTTTTTTTTTTTTTGCAAACTCCAAATGAGCTTTCATGTGTTTTGCACTCAGAAGAGGCTTCCATCTAGTCACTCTGCCGTATAGCCGATTGGTGGAGGGCTGCAATGATGGTTGTCCTTCTGGAACTGTGTCCCATCTCTACATAGGATCTGGAGCTCAGTAAGAATGACCATTGGGTTCATGGTTACCTTTCGTACTGAGGCCCTTCTTCCCCAATTGCTGTTTGACTGGGTGACCAGCTTTTGGAAGAATCCTGGTTGCACCAACTTCTTCCATTTGAGAATTATGGAGGCCGTAGTGTTCTTAGGAACTTTCAGTGGAGCAGAAATTTTATTGTAGCCTACCCCGGATCTGTTGCCTTGCAATAATCCTGTCTCTGAACTCTGCAGACAGTTCCTTTGACCTCATGGTTTTTGTTCTGTTACAGTATGCAGTCAGCTGTGAGGCCTTCTATAGAGATATGTGTGCCTTTCCAAATCAATCAATCAATCAATCAAAATAGAGCTGGAAGGGACCTTGGAGGTCTTCTAATCCAGCCCCCAGCTCAAGCAGGAGTCCCTATATCATTTCACACAAATGGTTGTCCAGTCTCTTCTCAAAAACCTTGAGTGATGAAGCACCCACAACGTCTGAAGGCAAGCTGTTCCACTGGTTAGTTGTCCTCACTGTTAGGAAGTTTCTCCTTAATTCCAGGTTGCTTCTCCCCTTGATTAGTTTCCATCTGTTATTTCCTGTCTTGCCTTTTGGTGCTTTGGAAAATAAATGGACCTCCTCCTCTGCCTCCTCCTAGCAGCCTCTCAAATATTGGAATACTAGTATCATGTTGCCCCCAGTCCTTCTTTTCTCTAGATTGGCCATTCCCAAATCCTCCAACCATTCTTCATGTTTTAGTGTCCAGGCCTTTAATCATCTTAGTTGCTCTTCTTTACACTTTTTCCAAAGTCTCAACATTATGTCCAATCAATTTACCACAGGTCAACCCCAATCAAGGTGTAGAAACATGTCAGCAAAGATCAAAAGAAATGGGAAGTATCTGAACTAAATTTCAAGTGTTGTTGCAAGGGGTCTGAATACTTACACCAATGTGATATTTCAGTGCTTTTTAAAATAAATTTACAGACCTTTTTAAAATTCTGTTTTCACTGAGTGTAGATTAATGAGAAAAAAATGAATTTCAACAACTGTAGAATCAGGCTGTAGAATGAATATTTTCTGAATGCATTGTAAGTATATAACCCCTCTCTCCATTTAATCTACATCCTACTCATCCTTCTCTTTATTAATTAATGGGTAGAATTTCCAGGAACCTGAAATAAAGTCCATCAGATTTCCAAAAGGACTTGTTTCATAGTACGGTTGATAACTTTTTGCATGCTTTCAAGTCAGATTTTTCGGAAGTGCATTGCCACTGCGGGCTTCGCAGAGTTAACAGTGACTGGCCCAAAATTGCCCAGCTGCCTTCGTGCCTAAAGCAGAGCTGGTACTTTTTAACTTGATGTCTTAAGCGCCATACCAAATTGGCTTTCAGGGCTGACATAATTCTACGCAATTATTTCTAGCCTAGATAGGATTTGTTCCTAAGTCAGAGTTTTAAATAGACTTTAATTTACTAGGGTTTATAATTAAGGAAACATGGAATGATAGCTAGATACGGAATCCAGTTGCAAGTGTGTTTAATATGGGCACAAAGCATAACCCTCTCTTCCCCGCGATATGCCTCCGCGCAATTAAATGGATCTTGTGCATTTCTTATCTGCCGCCCTAATATAATAGGACACCGCTCACTTCTATGGATTTCCGGGATGCGAAATAGTCTGCCTTCATTGCTCCGGCGTACTAATTTAAGGTTACCAGGTCTACATTAACAAAACTCAAGGTCGACTGAGTGCAAAGCCCTACTAGCTTTGCATTGCCGTATATGAGACTCACGCAACATGCAAACGTGACCATAATTGGCGCTTTTCACTGGTTAATAAACACAAGTCAGAACAGCTTGCGCAGTAGTCGCTGGGAGGCCACGCTGGCCATGCGCATGAGCAATACTACAGCCTTTTCGTCTTTCCGGGATCTTCCGAGGCGCCCGGAAGTTTTCTTGCCTGAAAAGGGTCAGTAGGCTCTACGCAAAGCGCATGCGTGCAGGGAAGGTGGAAAGCGGGGAAAAAAAAAATCCCTCAAACCATTGAGTAATGTAAAAGGGCCAGGCTAGAGCGGCTTCTAACTAAGACCACGAAAGCGGCGGGAAAGAGTGATAACGGTCCGGCGCTCGATTCTGCTGCGCTCTCGGTGAGGCGGCGCGCGCGGGGCTTCCTTTTCGAGCGCAGGCCCGGAGAAAGAGGCTCAAGGCAGGGCGGGAGGGCCCGAGAGTCCGGGGCGGAGCAGATCTTTTGTTTGCAGACCGGATGTCCTGGGTCTTTGGGAAAGGCGTTTCGGTTTGCTCGCTCTCGTAGTCGACTTCCCAGAGGCAGCGGGGGCTGCTGAGGGGAGCAAGCCCGTCATCACCGGGAGCCGATCATCACGGCTGCCGTCCTATCTACTATATCTACTGAGCCCTCAAGCTTCAGCAAACCAGGGCAGACATTCAGATCCCAGATCCTCTGAGTTAACGCTGGGCAGCATTAAAATGGAAGGCTCCGTTTTTGAAAGACGGAAACGAAACGGCCTGGCAAATGCCTTCTTGCTTGAGGAGAAATAAACAGTGCCTCACAGGGCCATGTTCCATCGGACACATCACTTGCTGAGGTGATGGGGGATACAGTACTACAGTAGTAACGCCGATCCTTCAGAGCGTGGCCTCAGGTTGAATTCCCCATTCTCTTCTCTCTCTGGATGACTCCCGCAAAGAGAAGAAGAGAAAGGCTGGAAACGGAGACATATGCAGGGCAGGGACTGGGGTGATCTTTGGAGAGGCGGAGTTTCCTGAGCCCAGTCATGTTGGCATAGATAGAAGAAGCGAGCTTTGTTGTTGAGCTTGTGGCCGATTGCCAAGGGAAAGGGAAGGTGGATTCAGAGCACAACCTAAAAGCTTTGCGGTTGTGTTGAGCGGTCTGGATGTGCGGACTCGCTCAGAAATAGGAAATGAAATGCTTGGGAGGGGGAGAAAAGGTTGCCCCCCCGTTTTAAGGAATTCCTCAAGAGTGTCTGCTGAAAACGTGTGTGTGTGTGTGTGTGTGTGTGTGTGCACAGGTATGTGTTTTTAACAGGATAAACAATTTGAGGAGAAACAAATACGTCTTTATTCATTTACTCAGTTTACATCCCATTTTTCTGCTCAGAAGAGCATGGACAGTAACAAAATTAAAAAATACTGAAGATTAAAATTAAGATAAATTTATGTTGGTGAAAGATGCATCTTTATTATTTTAATTTATTAAAATTTTAATCTGCACAGCTTTAATATTTTAATTACTTCTATTTATCTTTTTATAATCTGTAAGCCTTCCAGAGTCGCCCTATAGAGGAAATGGGTGGAATGAAAATAAACTAAACAACATATAGTAATTTAATGTTGAGAGGCACCTCTAGAGAAGTTGTATTCTAATGCCTGGGAGCAATACAGGAAAGGCTCTTTCCTATCAGATACATGACATTCTTACGGGGAGAGAACCTCTTCAAAATGAGTGTTCTCCCTGATACTCAGGCTCCATGTTATTTAAAATTTAAAGATTAATGTCAGCCACTTACCGTAGTTTCTTCCAGTTAAACATTTATCATCTGGTCCTTGGTGCTCTCTGAGCTTGCTTGTTTTCTTGTAGAGGTTTCATTACCAAAACTAGGTAACGTCATCAGTGTTAGTAAGAAGTGCTGTTTGCTGTCAGTTTATATTCTAGTAGTTTGCCCTGTCAGTGTTGATGAGAGTGGTCTTAGAGATTCTTTGGTAGGGCTGTTTACTGTGGGGCTTTTTTGGCAGTTTCTTGATTGGGGCATTGTTTACTTGATTGTTGGTCTGATGTTAAACTTGGAGTTAATTTATGCTGATCTGGGTATTGATTGCTGGTGGAGAGGTGGTTGGGTCTTTTTGTTCCTTTTGGGCTAGTTGATTGCATGGATATTGTTAATGTCTATGTGTCTATTGATGGCTAATTTGTCAGAGTGGCAGGTTTCTAGAAATTCCCTGGAGTTTTTGGATTTCTTTGGAATACAGAATACTTGATTTTGTAAACCTGAGTAGACAGGCGAATGCAAACATCTTATGACCAAAGATTAACCTCTCCAAAGCATGGATTTATGCTCAAAACCAATATTTGATATCTCCAGAAGAATTGGCCTTTTAAAATAAATGTATAGAGAAAATGCTTGCTAAATATTTTTTTCTCATGTTGGCTCAGTAGCATTGTTTTTAAGAATTAAAATGTCCATGATAGTGGCCCAAAATTTCAGATTTTGAACTTTAACTATTAGTGAGCTTCCACCTTCTGAATTTTTGTTATATCTGCTGTCTCCCCTCCCATTTTTTTTTATCAAGTTGGAACTCAGGGGAGCTTATCACATGATCTACACCAAGGAGGAGCATGAATACATTATTTTTGTCATGTGCTAGGAATATTTTAAGTCCACAGTCGTGCCTTATGGTTTGGTAAATGCTTCTTCAATGTTTATTAGATTTTAAAGATGAGATTTTTTTTTGTAATAGTTTGGATTCTAATTTCATTATCTATTTAGATTCAGCTTCCCACATGAACATGTCCAGACTGTGTTTGAACAGCTTTGCCAACACAACTTAAGCTTTAGATGAGAAAATGTGTTGTAGATCTATCTGTTTTAGGATCTTGCAGCTTTATGAGGGCCTCCAACAGAGTTCACTTGTGCTGGCAAAGCTTTCGGTAATTTTTAACTTTCATCAGTACTGATTTTGCAGCTTGCAGAAGAATGTTAAAGGCCCTGACTGAGAAGTGAATCCTTTTCAAGAGTAATTCTTGATCAGCTTTTCTGTTAAAACAGGCTTTTGCCTCCCAGCTCCTCTTTGCCATCCAGATCCCACTTGCCCTTTTGTTGTGGAAGTGGTTCTTGTCCAGACAGCTGAGGGTTTTGACAGAATTTTTTGCCTTGCTCCATTTATTCTGGATAGTTGCTAGCTTTTGAGAGGTGTTTTTAAACAGGAATTCTTGATGATACAAGAAAAATATTTTTCTGATCCTATCTTTTATATCAGACACAAACATATTGCTGTCCAACATTGTCAGAAGGGCCTCTCCCTTATTTGGGAGGATGAAGTAGAGAAATTGGGCACCAAATTTATTGGGCCATTCCCTGGATCAGCTCAGATTAACTCAATTCTTTTTGTTGAGTTATGCTAACAAATGATTTACTATCCTTGTTGCCTAAACCTTTTGCTTTGTAACATATGGTTGTTTACTGCTTTATTCCTCATTTTGAGATTGGTAGACACCATTATTTCTCCCATCTCCCCCTGTTGCAAGTCCATTTTCATATCTAATTTGAAGTGATAATTGGTTTGAGGAATTTAAATGTTTTGGTGCAAAGTTTTAAAATAAACCTAGAGTCTTATACCTACCCCTCAAAATGAGGGGAAGGTTATAGTAAATTAGTTACATTTCAGTTGTGAAATACTTTACCTCAAATATTTTCCTCATATCCTTGTTTTGTCTTTTTTGGTAATTATCTATAGAAGTCTTTATATGTTTTCATCCTAATTCATTGCTCTTTTTTATATTTACTTATATGATGCTTAGAGCAATCTAATACTTGCATTGTTAAGGATTTATTTGTTCATCCTAAGTGTTGCTGAGTGTGATATTCTTGTCAGTATTGGATATTATATTGTCTTTTTTTCTTTATCAACACTTATTAGATAATTTGAGATATTGGAATACCGGATTTCCATTGTAATTGTATACAAATCCTTCAAGATGCCAGCAGCACTTGCTGAAAATAGTCAAGTGATCTGTGAAGTATGGGCAAACAATCTAGAAGAAGAGATGAGAAAAATTCGGGAAATTGTTCTAAGCTACAGCTACATTGCGATGGTAAATTTATGCTTTTGGTACAGCTTTTATTCTGGCATAATATTTTTAAGATAAGTAAAATTATTCTAGTTTAAATCAGTGTATTCAGTCTGGAATCCACTTGATATTTTAAAGAAACTTCTTTCAACATTTTAGTTCTATTAAATATTTCATTTAAGCGAGTTATGGAATTCAAATCTGCAAATTTTTCATTACTAATACTATTCCTGTATAATCCCTATTTTATTTAAAAGTAGATTTTTGTATAAACATTGATACATTTGAAGTTTCTGTAGTAACATTCTGGGCTTCATTGTATAAAGCTTATTTGTAAAATCTTGGCCTATTTGGCTGGATGTTTTTAGAGAGTGCTGGATTACATAGATTTGCCATTCTCAGACAAATCAAATTGTACTCATTGTCAATTAGTTCCAGGAGGTGTGATGAGTACCAAAAATGATAAGTACCAAACAATTTTTTTCCATAAGGAGTAATGTAGTGAGTCACAAGGCAGCTGACATGACGAATTCTAGTTTGTGCATTGAATACCAAACAAGCTAAAATTTCCATGTCAAAATGTGTTGTGTAGCAACTTCAATGTGTTTCAAAGCAGTTGAGTTCTAAGGTATCATTGTATCAGAATGAGTTCTGACATATTACATCAATAAATTCTGGATTAATCTTCCATTTGTTTTTATTCTGTGTTATTAGCATATACGCTTTTCTGAAACATAAAATATATGCAAAAATATTGTAAGCCTAAACCTTAAAACACCTTGTTCCAAATTCATCAGAAATATTTCAACACATGAATAAACTATTCCTTATTGCCTTTAAAGCAATTGCATGATCTCAGTAAAATAAATTGAATGCACTGAGAATAGGTTAATGAAGAAGTGTGTGTGGTAAATAAGAAGAGACCCATGCATATACTATGCATATACATTCCTTTTGGGAGATCAAAATACAAAGTAACATTAAAGGAAAAAAGGTAAGGAAATAACACGACAAATTATAGTATAAAGTGACAAAAAATATATCAAATGAATATATAACAAAAATGACTTCTGATTTTTTTATAGTACAGAGGTAATAATAAAATACAGGAACCTCTATCTAGATTTAAATAATTAATACCAGTATTTAAAATATCTTAAATTACTAAAATCAAGATTCTACAAAAACATTCATAATATATTTTTCTTTTGTTTAATACATAATAAAGTATCAATTATGAATAATCGTATATTTGCAAAACCACAATATTTCTATAGAGATAATATCCAGATTTTATTGTTGCTTCGGTTTAATGTTTTCTTATGTTCCTTTATAGGACACAGAATTTCCTGGGGTTGTTGTTCGACCAATTGGTGAATTTCGCAGTTCTATAGATTATCAATATCAACTGCTCCGATGTAATGTTGACCTGCTTAAAATTATTCAGTTAGGCCTGACCTTCACAAATGAAAAAGGAGAATATCCTGTAGGAATCAACACCTGGCAGTTTAATTTCAAGTTCAATCTTACGTAAGTCTGAATAACTGGCAGAATAGTTTCTCTATTCTGTGGCCACAACTCTTTGAGTTGTGGCCACAGAGAACCAAGATATTTTTGTCAGTTTTCCATTCTCTTGTAAAAGAATTATTGTATTCTTTTATTTTTATTTATTTTATTCTATTTCAAAATCTGCACAGTAGAAGCTGTTAATCTCTTTAAAAGATGTGTTACTTTGTAATAGATTATTTTTGAAAATAACCTGTTGATTTCAAATACAACAGGCCATTTTTAGATAAGAAAAATAAGGTATTTTCCCATACTTGAAGTGTAATAAAAAGATAATATAAACTGTTGACCTTTTTTCTGTGTCAGACAGAAGGGTTCTACAAACTATGTCATGGTAAATAATGAATTTGAAGTAGTAACATAAATAAATGATATCCAGTGATTGTTTAGGAAAAATCAAACTAGTTTTAACATTTATTTGTCTTTCTCATTAGGGAAGATATGTATTCTCAGGATTCAATAGACCTCCTTGCAAGCTCAGGATTACAATTTCAGAAACATGAGGAAGAAGGAATTGATACTTTACATTTTGCAGAACTTCTAATGACCTCTGGTGTAGTGCTCAGTGACAGTGTCAAGTGGCTTTCATTTCATAGGTTAGTCTGTTTTTTTCAATATGTCAATAAACTTTATTTGCCTTCTTCATTTGATCCAGCATAAAATGAGTAGATTGTATGTTGGAATTGTTTGAAAAAAAAAAGTGAACGATTTGGTGAATGGCCTTGGTGTACAGTTGGTGTATATGAATCTGAGAATGATCCTCAGTGGCAGAAAAAATTGCAATTCTAAATATTTAATGATTTGTAGATCATCAGTGCTTTGCCTCCAAACTTTTGGAAATTTTTAGCCTTCTCGGGTTGTTTCATTGTGAATGATAATTTTATAGAAATGTTTGTTATTTTATCAACATTTTAAACTGTTCCATAATGAATCTCACCTATCCCCAAATCTAGTAAATATCAATTGATGATGAAGGCAGTTAATATTTTACTGGTTCAACTTATTTACTTTTTGCAGGCATCAACTTTTAGAGTTTTTTTTTTGTTGTTGTTGCTAGAATTGAACATATGACTCAGATTATATGAGTTCCAGCTTTTTTCCTTCTGTTTTGTTACATTTTCCACCCAATTTGTTCTTACTAAATCCCTGTAATCATTGTGGTACATTGAACAAGTATTTTTTGTTCTCAGCATTCATTTGCATATTCCACTAATTCTACTTGCTGAGGAGCTATCTCCAGTTCAGTTTCCACTGTCAATAGTTATAAGCTGAACTGGAAAAGATTGAATTAAAATAGAGAACAGTAAACTCTGCTGTATCTAGTCACATTGCTGTTAACTAACATGTGCCATTGTACTATTACTTCATCAGTGGCTATGACTTTGGTTATATGGTGAAACTGCTGACAGATTCTAGACTTCCAGAAGAAGAACATGAGTTCTTTCATATTCTGAACCTTTTCTTTCCATCTATATATGATGTTAAGTATTTAATGAAGAGCTGCAAAAACCTGAAGGTACATTTTATCATTGTTAATTGCAAATCATGAAGTGTAAAAGAAAACAAGGAATTGTAGTAGATATAATTTAAAAGGTAGCATAATTAACAAATTATATATTTATAAATGCACGAGGGCTTTATTCAACAGTTGCTTTTAATTTTACTATAGCTACAAATTCTCTGAAAATTAAATGTCATTTGGGAAAGCAGGATCCAACTTTTGTATTATGGCACCATATAATTGCTTGGCAAGAATTTATCAATCACAGACCATCCATCTCACAAAAATCTATTCTGGGCAGTATACAACAATCCAAACATCAAATATATTCAAATACATAAAACTTCCCAATCATAAAAATATAAAAGTCATATACTTTCAGGAGCATTGCTTATTTAAAAGAATCATTTGTTTTAAATGCACTTTCAGGAGCATTGCTTATTTAAAACAATCATTTGTAACCACCAAATTATTGCTGGAGATTAATTATATATACAAGTTCAAAGTGTAGCATTGGCAATTTCAAAATTCCTTTAAAATTCTAGTCTGCTTACTTCTGTAGCTCCCATTAACCAGTCAAAAGAGGTCAGATGAAACATTGACTCTTGTGTTTCAGTCTTCTTCCTTTATTGCAGGGAGGGCTTCAGGAAGTTGCTGACCAGCTAGATTTGCAGCGTATTGGCCGGCAGCACCAAGCGGGGTCAGATTCTTTACTTACAGGCATGGCATTCTTCAGAATGAAGGAGGTAGGCTCATTTGGCTTCTTTCCAAATCTTTGGCTTGTAGTCTGATATTGTTCTTGATACCCTCTTCAATACCTTTTGCAGTGCTATACTATTCTTAATTTCTTTGGGTTATGCAAGTGTCAGCCACTGTTGAAATGACTATTTTAAATCTAAAGATATACCCCCAAATGTGTTAGATGAAATGTATAACCACTTATATATTTTTTCCTAGTTGTTCTTTGAGGATACAATTGATGATGCAAAGTATTGTGGGAGACTATATGGCCTTGGCACAGGAGTAGCTCAGAAACAGACCGAAGATGTAGAAACAGCCCAAGAGAAAATGAGTATTTTGGCTATTATCAACAATATGCCCCAGTGACTTACTGCTACTTTAGGATATTAACATGGATCCACAGAGGTAAATTTCCTTCTTGAAACTGTTTCACATCTTTCCAAGAAATGGCGAAAGCACGAGTGTTTTTTTGAAGAGAAAAAAGCATCTTTTCTTTGAATCTTGGTAGATTCCAATTAAGTGATTTCATAATGGCTGGAGAGTTTGTCTTGTATGTAAAAAAAAATCGAGCTACATACTATGTATATAACTCCTTTTTATTTTAAACATTACTGAATTTGCAAGTAGTTCTTTCAGAATTTTCAGCAGAGCTGAAGTTCTTTCATGCACTTGCAGATTTAGTTTTGACAGCTTATTTTAAAATTTCTTTTGCTCTCTGTGAGGGTGATGTGTTTCTAAGCCCTCTGCTAGTTTTTATCTTTTGTGTCAGTCTGTGAAAGTGATCCATTCAGCCCTGGTGGTGGAGACTGCATGAACATAATGTAACTATATGCTAGAAGTCACCATAATGGTGGTCCTGGATGGTATTATCACTAGTTCTTCCTTCCTTTAGCTTGCTGGGCCGTGATATCATATTGGCAATTTTCATCTTAATAACTTTAGAATAGAATAAAACTGTCAGCATGCTTGAGACTGCAGTAATAATTGGGACCAAAAATAGTTTCATGTTGCGTGAAATACTTTAACCCTTCTGTGAATAGGATGCTCAGTAATTGAGTAAAATCACATATATCTAGTAATAATGGGCTATTAAAACTTTTAGATTACCATTTTATACTACTTTGAAGAGGAATCCTAGATTGTTCAATAGATGTAGACTAAAAGTTCATTTAATAGTTTTGCAGATGTCATCATCCTGAAAACAAAAATCCTGTTTGGGGTGGAGGGGATCTTGACAGTGTGAAATTTTAACTCCCCATTATGTAAAGTATTACAAGCTGCTGTTAAATGCATCTGTATATATAATTGGTTCTTAATTTTGTAAAATAAAGACTTTTCTTAAAGCATGAGACTTGGAGTTCTATTTTTTTTTTAAATGGTAATTGTTTTTGTGTCAAAAGAACTGTCAGCAAAAGGAACTTAGTCACTAGAGATAAAAACTGATGCAAATTTTATAGACTTGAAAAGTGAGGTTTTTAGCACAATTCAAATTGTAACAATTACTAATTCTACTCTAAAAACCTTTTCATCTCCACGGGTTTTCCTCTCCTCCTCTTTATGTACAAGAAGATACCTTAAATACTGTTGCAAGAAATATACAGGAAGTCTTGTTTCTGCCTTTAACTTTAATTTGTATGCAAGTCAGAATTCATACAGGTAGTCTTCGACTAACAGTTCGTTTAGTGACCCAAGTTACAACTGCACTGAAAAAAAGTGACTTATGACCATTTTCCATTTTCGGAAAATGGGACAAAACTCACAACTGTCTCATTTAGCAACCAAAATTTGGGCTCAATTGTTGTATGTCGAGACAAACAGCCTGCCTACTACTAAAATTGGTGGATGACATTGTTCTTTTGAGTTGGCAAACCACCGGAAGCCATGCAATATTTTTATGAACCTCTGAAAATTTGCAACTTCAGTGGTTCATCAAAACATTGTGTAGCTTCAGCAGCTCATCAATTCAAGGAAGAGCAATGCTGTGTACCATGTTTATAAGTGTGTACCTGTTCATAAGTGTAGGTTGTCCCTCAGTCAGATGTATTTAACCTGGGGACTTCTATATATGCTACTAATATTTCTTCAGATCTTCCATAATTTTATTAAATATGAGATTAATAAAATCTAAAATTTTATTAAATTTTAGATCAGGAAGAGTATTTCAATGGGTTTAGAATGTATATGTATATATATTTAGAAGATATTCATAGAGCACCTATCTTTTAAAAGGAAAGATAACCAGATAGTTCATATAGCATGTTTATTAGAGAGGTGCAATGCACTTTCCTTCTGAAGTAGAAAAAAAATTGGTAGTGCTTTTAAAAAGTAGGTATTTATTTTTTTCCACATTATTTTATTACACTCAATAATTGTCCAGTATGACTGTATAACAGTAGTCTTCTAATCATTCATTCTAGAATGAAACATATTTCATAACCATCCTTAACCCTGAGAAGAAAAAGATAAGAATTTCATATAAAGAATTTCTTGGAAGCTTCTTTATATATGTGATTTCTTCCGTATTTCCTAAGTAGATTTAATGACTGCTCTTGTAATTCTGGAATCAGATCCACTTGGCACTGTGCACCCATGTGTAGCACAATAAGGCAGCATTCTAATACATCAGGGAAAGGGGAATCCTATAAATAAATAATAAATAAATAAAACTAGAAGTTCTAAGTTAGTTATATTAGGTATATTATTCTAGAAGCTCTAAGCTAGGTATATTATTCTTCAGTTCATATTTAAATTAGTAATGCTGTAACACTTCACATATATGAGTAAAAAGAAATTAAAATTAGCTTTATACCATTCAAACAGCATCAGTTCTAACAATTAAAAAATTATTAGTTAATGATCAGATTAGAATTAGTGAAACACATCATCCCCATCAGCTATTTAAAATTAGAAAATTATCACACCGAGTCTCCCTAGGCACCCAATACTTCGCTTTCTTGGCTGGTCCAGGCCTTTGGTGCGTTTGCAGAAAATGGAGGCCTAAAGTAATGCAAGGTCACGTGAGATCAGTGGGGCGAGATCTCATGCTACTGATCTCACATGATCTCACATGGTACTTTAGGCCTTTGTTCTCTGCAACAGAGAACGGAACCGAAGCCGGGGGATGCTTCCACCTGCCTCTGTATGCTGGATCGGGACATCGGAGGCTGCCGAAAAAGAATCGTAAGTCTTACCTTCATGCTTTCTGGAAATTCTGCTAGTTTCTGATTTGTTTCTGTAAGTTGCTTTGTCAGATCTGGCAGAGAAGCCGGTTCCTTCCTTTGTTCTTTACTGTAAACAGATTAAATTTAAAAGATCTCATTTCCAATAATATAGTCACAATGAATTATTTACAATATATATTGGCAGTGAAACTAAAAGAAATTAAATAGTTCTGTCATACAGACAAGTTACTTTCAAAATTGTTTCTAACAAATCCTACAAAAGCAATCCAAATGGTAAGGTTATGTTTGAAATTGTGCAGTTGTATGTTCTCTAAAGCTTTTTGATAAAGATTAAGAATTTTAGAGACTTTTTTGGAGTTAGAATAGTACCTGTATAAAGCTAAAGCTCCCCTTGAAAATATATGAGTTTAGGACCATAGCAGTTCAGGTATCAACCATTAATATTAACATCTTCCTAGCATTATTCCTCTGCTATGGCAAAGTCTGCTTTAAAAAGTTCCGTATCCCTTAATTTAGGGGGAGAGTCAGGGCAATTGATAGAGCTGAGCATTTATTGGCTGAATGCCCTTCCTGACACCATGTGGAGTTTGCAGTTGTTACTTTTTCTTTGCGGCTTAGGAGAGAAACATCTGCCACTACCTAGGATTCCGAATGGGAGGCGAGCGTCTTCACCACTAGGTCACCACGCCGCTCATTAATGCATATTCCCTATATCTATCTCAATTAAATTCACCCCTACGGTGAAAGAGATAGATAGATAGATAAGGAATATCAGCCATGCCAAAAGCTAATGTGCTCTAAGTTATAAGGTACAAGTCAAATCCAACACAGCTGCTGCTTTTGAACGTGATTAGCATACACTATCCTTTCTACAGAAATTATTTAGCAAATCTTACTTCAGATTCTGGTTTATTGCAGACTTAGCCTCCAATTCCTGCCCCTCAGCACTTTGATGGAAGTTGGTTTTCTGATGCTCATGAATCATTTCTGCAAAAAATTGTTGAACTCTAGAAATATTCCTCTGTAAACTCTGGACTTCAGCGTGTTCTTCTGAAAGGAGCACCCTACATGCCCTCAGTTTTATCTGTCTGTCTTCTAAAAAGCTTAAATGGTCCGCTAAATCAGTTTTTGAGGCAACTCCACTGGAATCCACATAAGAAGGATCTTCGGTCTTGGTGGGCTTGATTACAGTTTCTTCAGTCAAACAAACTGTATTAATGCTGTTACTCGGTTCAAGAGTAGCAGGAGAATAAGCTTCAGAGGTTTGTTTCAGGGATTCTAAGCCAGCATTCTCAGGGGAATTCCACCACAAGTTGTATAGCTGTCCATAAGCCACAAATGCTTCTAAACTTCTGAAAGCTGCCATGCTCTCAGGATTTCTGCTGTCCAGCTGGTCTCTCACATGATTGCAGCCTACTGAACAAGACAAAGGTAATTGGGAATGTTGTGCTTTTCAATCTTTTTCCAAAACCCAATATTTAGAATTGCACTGTTATACATTTTTGCCACTATAAGGAAAAGAAAATATATCAGAGTATAAAGTTTTAGTTTATAAAATAGATTCAGATATTAAATATATATAGGTAGTCCTTAACAGTTCATTTAGTGACCATTCAAATGGCACTGAAAAAAGTGACCATTTCTCACACTAACGACCATTGCAACATCCCCACGGTCACATGATCAAAATTCAGGTGCTTGGCAACTGATTCATATTTATGATGGCTGCAGGTTCCCGGAGCCACGTGATCCCCTTTTGCAACCTTTTGACAAGCAAAATCCATGGGAAAGCCAGATTCACTTAACCGTGTCACTAACCTAACAATTCTAGTGGTTCACTTAACAACTGTGGCAAGAAAGGTGGTAAAATCGGGCAAAATTCACTTAAATGTCTCACTTAGCAACAGAAATTTTGGGCTCAATTGTGCTTGTAAGTCGAGGACTACCTGTAACTTCCTGTGAAATTCACTACTACAAGAAATGGCAGGCATAACTGGAATGACTTTAGAAAGGGTTTGGGTACATTCATGGAGGACAGGTTCCTGAAGGCCTACTGATCATGAAGTTTTAAACATTTCCTTTTGGTTGGGGGCAGCATGCTGAATGCCAGTGGGAGAACAACAGAGGCGGGGGGAGGGGGGGTGCATCTCTCTTTTCTACTCGTGACCCAAGAAGTATCTAGCCATACTTGTCTTATGTTATTATGCAATCCTGCCTGCAGGTAGAAAATGAGATCAAGAATGTCTCATTGGACTTGTTTAAAGAATGACAACAATGCGAGCTGAATCTTTCTTCTCAAAAAGCAGAATGATGGTTTTCTCTCAAAATGAACTATTAAAAAGTGGAAAAAAGATGTTCTAGCTAGATCAGGAATTGGTCAGAATTCTTACCCAAAGAGAAAGAATAGCTCTGTGCCGTGTTAGGAGTGCTATTAAGTAGTCCTTTGAATCTCTGTTCTCATAACAATTGTACAATATAACAACTCTTTTGCTGCCATCTGGTAGCCTCTGAGGAAAACAATATCCAAGGTAGTTGGGACCCGCAACCCAGTGCCTCCTACCAACCAAGATTTTGAAGGAAACTGAACAGAGATTATGAAAACTGGAGGCTATACTCTTGGACCTATGGAAATACTGAGACCAAGGAAAAATTAGCCATCACCTGTAGGGAAGCAGAGGTTGCATATATCTTGCATAAGACTGAAGTTTCCAGCGTCATAACTGCGCATCACAGCTCTTAAGGTAGCTTTCACAGTTTCCTCCCAGGAAGACATCTGAAGGCTAAGACATGCTAATGTCAACTCATGGGAAATGTGGAACACCAGCTAGAAAAAGAAAGAAAATAAAGATAGATTTTAAAGATCTCAATTCATGGGAGTAGATGGAACAGCAAAGGCAATTATCAGCTAGCTTCTATTATAACAGTTTTAATGTGTTATTTGTTACAAAGGGAGCTTGAGTGAGACAACTAAGATAAATGAATTGTTGTCAGGAACTTGAGGAAAAAACCCTATAGGATAGGCAGCTGGACCTGGGATGTTTAGTAAGAAAAAAAAGACAACAGTAAGGAAGACATGTTACCTCTGTTCAGGTATCTTAAGAGAAAACTATAGGGAATATGTTGAAACATATTTCATAGCCATGTATACTTGGAGTGGAAACAGAAGGTTAAGATCTGTAAAATAATTGAAACAGTCTACTTTATAAAGTTCGTGGATTCTCTATTTTTGGAGGTATTTAAAAGGAGACTAGACAGTCACCTCCCACGGTTGGTATGTTGATTTTTCTGCACATTGCAGAAGGCTGAACTAAATCCTTTATCCTCTGCTCAAATGTACAGTTCTATGATTCTAGACAGACTTTGAATTTGTCAGGAACTGTTGTGAATCCAATATAATTACTTTGTGGTTCAATCACTACAAACTACCATTAGAAAATTATACTCACAAAGGTCATAAACAAATTACCTGCTTGGGAGGTGTATTACTAGTAGCAGGAGGGTACTCAAGAGTCCTCAGCTGCTCAAATATATTCTGAAACTGTTCAGGCGTGTTCACACCTAACACACTCTGCCATACATTAATAACCATTTCTATGAAACAGCTATCTTGATTGGTGGTCCAGCTGTTGTAACAAGGTGTAGATGGGCATCGAGTTCCCACTGGATTCCGTTGACTGAGGCACTTGTGAAGCAATTCATGAAGACAGAATACCAATCTTTGCCCCTTTAAGTGAAAAAAAAAAGGAGAAGCCCAAGGTCATTCAGCTGGCTTCCATGGCTAAAGTGGGACTGGAACTCATGGTCTTCAGCTTTCTAGCCTGGTGCCTTAACCACTAGACCAAACTGTTTCTCATATGGTTGAAAATAGGTATAAGAGTATAAACAAAATGAAGAGCTAAAGAATAAATCACTCTAGAAGCAACAAAAGATACTGATCAGCAAACTCTTGTTGCCACAGAAACTAGACACAATGATAGAAATTTGATTTATATATAAACAAAAATTTGTATTAAAGAATCACTTGTATACTGACAATATGTAATATTCAGTAATATGACAAATGTTTATGTTAATTCAAGCTTTTACATATACAGGGTCATTATCCAAACCTTTAACCCAAACCAGCCGATTTGCAGAATTATATGTTCGTATGTTTTGTGGCTGGCAGACAGCATCAATTTCCAAGAACTGTACCATCCTTAATCCAAAGTATGACTGTTTCATGTTAGCTATGTCTGACCTCAAACATATGAAAGCTAACCCTTCATGTCATAGAAAAAGCATCAATATGTTTGTTAGAAGTTCAGACATTCTGTTGTAAGGGAGTACAAATTAGCTTTTTATATATAAACTAGCTACAGATATTAATTTAAATTGGGCTAACATCTAAAGCAGGGGTATTCCTGGCTGGCTCAGGAATTCTGAGAGTTGAAGTCCACGAGTCATAAAAGAGCCAAGGTTGACTACCCCTGATCTAAAGAATATAGCAAACTATATATATACATATATATATATATACACACATCATCATCATCATCATCATCACTCACTGACCAACAAGCTGTCATGCTGCTGGAGAACCTCTTGTGCCCCAACCCAATTCTTAGATGAAAGAAGCTCCTGGGCACATCTCAAGGAGAAGGACAGAGATAAATCTTTCTCTCCAACTATCAGAGCCAATTCGGCAGCAGTTTTAAGTGATGTAATATCTCCTTTTTTAGCCAGTACTTTGGCAGCATCATAGGGAGAGGTGGCCCCAAGGTAACTGAAATGAAACATTTTATACAAAGAGTTAAACTTTAATTTGGATCAAATTTTCATTTTAACTATTAATCCATGTATAGTTGTGCTCACAGGTTTACACTCCTCTCACAATATCTGTAAGATACTAAACATTTTGAAAGTAAATATGAGTGACCAGAAAAAACACATATTTTAAAAAAATTATAATACGATTCAAATTAAACTATTAGGCCACATAGAATAGCACAATCATTATACAAACCATAACAATAGAAGAAAGAATAAAACGATCCTGTTAAAAAGTTTGTATATTCTTGAATATTTGGGCTAATAATACAGTATACACTAAAGCTGACATACAGAGGTTGAGATGGTAATGAAGGATAACTATCCACAGCTGTGCCTTAATAGCAATTAGTATCTATGCCCTCTTCTCTGTGGTAGCCCTCCAAGTATTGGACGAGTGCTATTACGTCTGAGATCACTCATGTTCACGTTTATTTACAAAATGGTTCACATTTTACAAATTCTGAAAGGGCACATGACCACACCTATAATTCTATATCTTTATTTCTCCTCTTGGAAGTATCTGCTTTGTACATTAATATATACTGAAGAGGGTTGAGAGGTTATCAAGAATTGCTTACAATTCTTCAACTTTAAATGGGACCACAAGAACCACAAGATTGTATTTTGGTTGTATTGTTTTGAAGACTCCAATGACTTTCATTTGGTAGCAGGTGCAAAGCATAGTCAAGTCCAGAAAAAAAATTAATGCTAACTTATTATGTACTGAGAATATAATTAACTCAATTAATTCAAGGACAAGCAATGTTAGGATTGACATTACAAAATTCCTTAGAAAGGCAAAATTTGGACATTTATAGCCTGACCGAAGTCACAACCAGAACACCTTTTCCTTCTAAAAGTCATAGCAGAGTAATTTGTATAATTTATTATTTCTTCCTGTATCTTATGTTGCCTATTTGCAGACTCCCTCAGAAAAACACACTTTCTCTCTGTCTCTCTTTGTATTTAGACAGAGATTGAGGGAGAGAATATCTTGCTTAGTAGAAAAGTGACAACAATATATTGAAGAGATAATATTTGCTGGCAACTCATACCATTTGGCTGCCATAGAGTAATGGCCATCCTTCTCTAGCACAGCTGCCCAACAGATATACAGATCTTTTAGAACTGGATCTTCAGGATGTAATCTAGCTTTGGCAATTACAATGGCTTCTCTGAGACAGAAGAAGAGAGAAAAATAGTTTTAAATAAATCACAGCTTAACATTAGCACACTGAACCACTGATCTTTCACATCAAGTTAAATTCAAAATAATTATTGTGATTATTTCCCCAATAAGATGCTGGGAGAATCAGCAAGCCAGCATCCAACTAGATACACACATTTTAATGTCAAATAATAGACTATAGGAGAAATTAGGAACATTAAACATGGTCTTAAATTGATATAAAATAATTCCTTTATAACACTAACTACAGATAGTCCTTGACTTACAACCACAATTGAGTTCAAAATTTAGGTTTGCTAAGTGAGATATTTGTTAAATGAGCTTTTCCCCATTTTACAACTTTTCTTGCCACAGTTGTTAAGTGAATCAGTGCACTTGTTAAAATTAGTAACATGGTTGTTAAGTGAATCTGGCTTCCCCACTCGTCAGAAGGTCGCAAAAGATGATCACAAGATCCTGCGGCACAGCAACCGTCATAAATATGAATCAGTTGCCAAGCGTCTGAATTCTGATCGTGTGCCCATAGGGATGCTGTAACTGTTGTAAGTGTGAAAAGCGGTCATAAAGCGGTGTTTTTCAGTGAGGTTGTAACTTTAAAAGGTCATTAAATGAACCGTTGTATGTCGAGAACTACCTTTATGCTGTTCTGGTTCTTCTGATTTACATGAAAAGCTAGAAGACAATCATTTCTTTCTCCATAAAGATTCCCAATTCTATACCAGAACCAAATGAAACAATAGCAGTGTAATGACCTGAAAAAATTATGAGACTTCAGGAGTTCTACAGCTTCATACACTTTATGAAGGGAAAGGAGATGGGAGGCAGCCTTGACATACTGTTCTTGAAAACACAACTGCTTTGCAAAGGCTTCTACAGTACAGGCCCAGGCCTGGTAGCCAGCTGAAGGGAAGACGGGAACAACAATAAATAAAGTAACATGGAGAGAAATAAGCACATGATTTGTTATTTGTTGCATTTACATCTTACCTTTTTTTTTTGTTCAAACATGGGTGGGAGGACCCTCCCCAAATTTTATCTCACTGAACCCAGGAGATATGTATGGTTGGGACAGAATGACTACAGACACCCACTGAATTCCAGGATCAACTCCACAATTGAAACTGAATTTCCCCAATCCTAGCCTGACACTTCTGACCACTAGCACTAGAGCTACTTTGGCCCTGCAGTATAAAACCAATGTAAGATTTTCAAATTAAGGAAGGGAATACTTTAGAACAATGCATAATTATTACAATACTGCCTAGTATTGGGTACAAAATAGCAGATTTTCTTCAGTACTGTGCATACCCATGGGTGAGATAGCCACTAGTTGATCTGTTAGTTCTCCCCTTTCTGCAGCTGATTGAAGAGCACCTCTAAGATCTCCTTTCCATAACATCAGTTGTTGAAATAGCTCGGGGTGTCCATTTCCTAAATGACTTTTTCCTGTGGGTACAAGCATTATGTATAGTATGCCTTGAACAATATGTACAGCATCATCATCAAAAAGCAACAAGAAAATCCACATACATCTATAGTTTGCAACTCACTCTGTGCTATTATTTATTGCCTCAGTTTAATGATGTTTTTGGATCCAAATGACTATGTAGTTTTTATTTGCCACACTGTTTCTCCCTTAACCCAACTCTTATCTCCATTTAAGTACTCTTTTCCTAATAAAATTAAATCCTTCCTCCCGTTTTTTTCTCACAGTAACAACCCCATTAAATAGTTGGATTGAGAGTTACTTTTCTTTCTTACTTTATATTTCATATTTCTAAACTGTCCATCTCCCTATTACTCGTATGTCTTTATGTTTATAAATAACTCAAGGCAGAGAATATATGCAACACAACTTCCTCCTGCTTATTTTCCCCAAACAACAACCCTGTGAGGTGGGTTGGACTGAGATTGAGTGACTGGTCCAAAATTATCCAGTTGGCTTTCATGGTTAAGGCAGGAGTAGAATTCATTATCTGCCTCTTTCTAGCCTGGTGCCATCACTGGCTCTCCAGAGTTAATTGTATTACAGAGTTAATTATTAAATTAATTAATTAAAGAGTTAATTGTGCAAAGATACCCACTCAATTTCTGTGGTTGAGACTGGATTAGAATCTGAGTCTCCCCAGTGCCAGCCCACCGTCTTAACAATTACAGCACACTATCAGTGTGGTATTAGTTGCCATTTGAAAAATTAAAACACAATCACTTATCTAATCAGAGATCATTCATATGTGATCATTCAACTGAGTTATTCAAAGATTAAAACAGTAACAACCCAAAAAGTAACCCCCCCAAATTAAGAGTTGCAATTTTAAGTATCTGATTACCCACTACAGAAATCATCAACATTCAATTTAAACTAGAAGAAGCAATTGTATAGTATATAAAAATACAACTCTATCTAAATATGACTTTTAATTCCCTCCGTATGTTAAATCAATGATCACCAAAATAATTCAACTTTATGGAAGCAGAGACCTATATGATGGTGACCCGCTGTTAGGACTACTTCAGAGCCAATACTGAGGAGGGTTTGGAGATGGAAGACAAAGGAAAAGGAAACAAGTGAGGATATGCTAGGAGACAATGAAAGTCCAAAAAGTAGCAGAATACAGTGAAGATTTCTGAGGCCCAATGAAATCCTTTAGAACAGTGGTTCTCAACCTTTCTAATGCCTCGACCCCATAATACAGTTCCCCATGTTGTGGTGACCCCCAACCACTTATACATCACCGGGTGCCAGGGGTGTAGCCAAAGAAAAGGGGGAAAAATGGCGGACAGCCTTGTTTGACGACCCCCATGAAATGGTCATTCGACCCCAAATGGGGTCCCGACCCACAGGTTGAGAACCACTGCTTTAGAAACAAGGACTAGAGACAAGTAGGCCAAAGAAAATGTAACATTTGGTTAAGGATGTTGTGGGAATGGTTAGCAATGCAGTATGCTTTAGAGCAGCAAATAATTTGAAACTTTTTGTTGGTTTATTGACTGCAACTATAACTTAGCATTGTGTCCTAATAGCAAGTCTGGTTATATTTTCCTGGTTTATCGTTAGTATGTTTCTTCTAAGCCACTAACCAATCCACAGAGGTTTAAGGCCAGAATAACTGAAACACAGAGAAAACAATCCACAAACAAACTTGATTATTTTCTAACCCATGGTTATGAGCCATGGCTTAACAACTCATTTTTACATGCAAATACTATATCCTATTTACTATTTATCCTTACCCAAACCTACTGATTAATGATTCAAATACTAACCTTCTGCTTCCATCATCTTATATAGGGCAGGTCTATCTGTGAACAGACCCAAATGGATAGGATCCTTTGGAGAAGGGGTCAAATCTTCATTCAACTCTACCAGGAAAGTAACAAAGTTTTATCACATTTATGATCTTCATGATAAAAGAAAAGTGCTTCCCATAGCTTAAATAATTCTTAACATGTTATTTATTTCTTCTTAGAGCACGAATTAGCTGCATTGTGTACCCTGTTTTGAATCTACTGCTTCTGGCTGCTTTAGAGGTCCTCTCCCAGTCTTCTGAGTTAAGTACTGCTACTAAATCAAAATGTTTTCTGTGTACAGGCATTCGTATGATTGGCTTGTAATGGCTTCAAAGCAGCTGTACCGAGCTTCAAGTGTTCTGACTACACTGATTACATGATGTGAACAGATCTTCATATATTGTTCTAAGAGGGAGTCTTATGCATAACCGGATAATAGAGACACTACATATATACTCTTCCAGTTGAAATGAAATCAAAGTGACATCATGCTTGGGAGAAACCATGCTCTGTTTAGTTTTGCAAACAGAGTAGACTGAAAAGTACAAGATTTATTTGGGGAATGAAACTACTGGCATTAAAGCCTTTCCCAATCAAGATTACTCTTTTCCTCCTGAACTGCAGCTAAAAAGCGGTTTTGATAAATATCACTTGGTAAAGAACATGGAGATTTTTTTACTCCTCTCCTCCAGCAATCCTTCCAAGATCTCTGTTTTTGTTGTATGTTCTAACTCTTGATGGCAATCCAGCCTGTGGGTCAGAACAGGTTCCGAGTCCCAGTTATACACTATGTCATTTATTTTTGTGATATACAATTTTCTCATATTACTAATGTAAATAATATGGAACTATGGAACAAACTTGTTGTTAATATATTGTGCTATGTATTTTTGAAAAAGCCGCAAAGCAAGGCTAACAGTCTATTTAAGATATGAAGTTATCTAAAAAATGATCAGTACATTGTATGGCACATACTTCCTATCTTACCTTTGGAATGTAAGAAATGCGCTAATCTCAGACAGTCCTGGTGCAGTTCCTCCTTTGACCTGTGGTCCATAGATGTGCTCAGAGGCAGGATTGATCGAGGCTTTTTTCTTTTCACGGAAATATCTGCTCCTGGAAAGAGAGTTGTTAGAAACTCATATCCTGACTACAGCTGCTGATCCTTATGCCAAAACCTCAAGAGATTATATGTAAATAATTCTATATTTATAAATAATGTGTACAAACCTGGCTTAACTGGATCCTTCCTTACAGGTGGAGTTTTAACTAAAACAGGAGGTTTCAGGCTATCCAGCCCATGGACAGATGATGGACAAGTTGTTGAATCACTGTCTGCTGCAATGAAAGAACTAATTAAACTTGTGCAATGCCTAGAATAACATGCCTCTGCTACAAACTGCCACAGCGAAAACTATAGGAAGATAATATATATATGCAGTATATCTTTGTCTATCTAAATTCACTAACTCTAGCTTTAAATGTAATTGAAAACAAGGGAACTGCATAAGACAGACATGTCAAACTCGCGACGTCACACGATGTCGCGCAACATATTGGAGCTTTTTTGCCATTGCCGGCAATGGGGTGGGCGCGGCTCCGGTATGATGAACGGGCCGGCAGTTTGACACCCTTGGCATAAGAGCTAAGAAAAGACAATCCTCTCAGTGACTCAGCTAATCAGTCAAGGTTTCAGAATTAAGAAAACATGATAACATGATGGTAACATCAATAGCACTTAAACATATATACCACTTCACAGGGCTTTACAGCTCTCTCCAAGCAGTTTACAGAGTGAGCACATTGCCCGCAACAATCTGGGTTCTCATTTTACCCACCTCGGAAGGATGGAAGGCTGAGTCAAGTCTCTGGCCCCATTAGATAAAGAACAATGTTTACTTAAAAAAACAAACATTATGATTTGAAGGAATAGGGAACCAAGAGATTCACTCTGGTTGAATGTCAAGTATTTGCCTTTCTAGAGGCGAGTAATAAAATAGTCATCTCTCACAACCATGTTTCTACAGCTTAAATGCTATTTTCCAGTTTATTAAGACAATTACTGTAGCTATGATTAGAGATGCAAACTGTTATGTACCTTCTGTGGAAATTTTCTCAGCTGCCTCTTGTCCATGTGGTTCTTTTTCTCCTTCCGGGTCAGAAACCCCATTTTCTTCCAAGGGAGGTTCTTTCATATTTTCACCACCATTCGTCCAGTCATTTATATTCTGTGCAGAAGGCAACCTCCCCAAAGGTTTCTTCTTTTTCTTCACTTTCTGTTTAATCTGAGTGCTTCTTTTTTTCTCTAGCTCAATACTCTTCTTGCCTAATAAACAGGAAATGCTTTTAAAAGCTTTAGAGATTCCTCTTAATTTCTTTCTTTCTTCTCTTATGCATACTTTTTGATTCTTGGCAACTGCAAGGAAGAGTCCCTGCAGTTTTCTTACAAGATTTCAAAAGTGCCATTGTCCACTTCCTAGGACTGAGAAAAAGTGACCGGCCCAAGGTCACCCAGGCTTTATGTCTATATAGGACTTAGAAGCCATGATCTCCTGGTTTCTAGCTTGATGCTTTAACCATTGCATCAAACTGGTTCCTTTGAAAGGATTACAACAAATGAAATGCATTATAAGAGACAGCACACTAATTTTCTGCTTTTTAAATTTTATCTCCAAAGTTTGGAGGAAGACAATATTTTGGAGGCCGTAGGTGGCACACATTTAACTTTGGGAAGGGGCAAGATAAAGTCAGTAGACAGGACAATGATGCGTAATCATCATTGTCACACAGGAAGGGAATGAGATTTTCTGTTCCCCTATTTGAATCAGAGATTTTCTTAGCCTTTCTATTTGTCAAGCCTTACTCTACAATCAACTATAATTGCTGATTTTTAGGAATCACAGTTAGATGGTGTTTGAAGGGACATTTATTCATTTATTTAACTTCTCCTGTCACCAAAGTGACTCTGGGCAGCAAGCAAAATTTAAAAATAAATTGAGTAAAACAAAGAAGATAATTATAGATACAATATGGTTTCCCAAAATGAAAGAAACATCAGCAGAAAAAAAATGGTTTGTGCACATGCAGACACATTAGGGGACCTATTATCTTCTAATCCAGTGTTTCCCAAACTTGACAATTTTAAGGCATGAGGACTTCAACTCCCAGAATTCCACAGCCAGCAACGCTGGCTGTGGAATTCTGGGAGTTGAAGTCCTCATGCCTTAAAATTGTCAAGTTTGGGAAACACTGTTCTAATCAAAAGAACTGCAGTGGGAACATGCTCCCTGTTCTCTCTGCCTCTTTCCTTGGATTTAGTCCAACATTCAATCTATGACTATTGCATTTTTAGGAAGCCGGTGCTTACTAATTCTGGAATATTAATACTATAATCAAAGAATAATGACTAAAAAAAAGAATAAACATCACTACAAATCTTGGGTTTTGTTTTTTTTTTTACTCTTACTGCTATGTCAAAGTATAAATTAATAGTTTACTGACCTTGGGGAGGGCGAATGTGCTCTTGTTTTAAAGCTACCCATTTGTGAACAGAGAAGTCATCGCCCCCAGTGTAAATGGACTCTGTTTCCACAGGTGACCACTGTGCACAGAGCAGACGGCCTCGGTGTCCCCTGTAATTGTGCAAAGGCTCTTCTTTTAGAGCATCCCAAACCTGTGAACAAATGCCTCATCAGTCCCTCGTGATTTTTCCACTAAAATAATCTCCAATTTCTAAAGACGTGATCTTAAATTAAAATTAGATACTTGCCTGTATTTTTCTGCATAATATTCTAACTAATATTACCAATATTCCAAGAACCGTGTTGCATAATATTCTAATTAATATTCTAAGAGCTGTGTAGCACAGTGGTTAGAACTGCCGACTGCCAGCAGTTCAATCCTGGCCGGCCCAAAGCTGACACAGCCTTCCATCCTTCTGAGGTGGGTAAAATGAGGGTCCAGATTGTTGGGGGCAATAGGCTGACTCTGTAAACCACTTAGAGAAGACTGTAAAGCACTGTGAAGCGGTATATAAGTCTAAGTGCTATTGCTAACTTAGCCTTTGCATGCTTTTTACCTTATTATCAAGAGGGTAATGTGTCCATATCAGGTTGATTAAATCAGGTGAACCCCCATACCAATTCTATTTTAGGCCATAGAAATCAATGGTTTGAAAGAGCCCATATAAAGCTCTAATCTATCACCTCTGTAGGCTTGTTTTCAATTTGCACTATGCTTTTAAAATTTGGCTCTGGTTTTTTATATTTGTACTATGAAGGCCAAAGGACACATTTAACTTTGGGAAGGGGCAAGACAAGGACAGCAGACAGGACAGAATTAAACCATTTGCTAATTTTTTCATAGATATAAGCATTTACATGACAAAAAAAATCCTGCACATTCTGCTTTTAGGTGCACAAGCGTTCTACATATTCCAGAGAATGACAATTTACACAATAATATACAATATTCCCAAAATATACAAAATGCAGCTGCTTTTGGAATCTGCTTTTCCAAGTTTGGTTTTCCTACTATATTTTTTTTAACCAAGGCATCCCTAAATCTTTTATCTATTTGATTAGACCAGGGGACCCCAAATTCTTCAACTCATAAATCCCTTCATAAAGTTTCATTTTTTCATCAATCCCCAAACATTATATGAAAATAATTTAATAAATGGTATTTTAACTATATAATATTACTGCACAATAATAACAACAATAATGGATAGTCCCATTGACCCTTGTGAGGAGATGTTGACCACTTTGGGAAACCCAGCATTAGATTAGGAAAAAAAATCTATTAAAATAATTTCACAAGCATTACCTGGGCAGTGCCATCATAGCAAACAGATACCAGTCTTCCATTATGATGTGGACTCCAAGACAAACTAGTGATCTTGGCTGTGTGTCCAGCCAGAGTACGAAAAGGCTCTGTGATTGTTACAGGCTTCTCTGAAGAACTCTCTAAAGAGAAAACATTCTGTTTGAATGAGCTCAAAACTGACAACTTACTTTTTATATGATTTTAAAACATGTTTAGAATATTTTTAAAAAATGAATACAGAAAGACAAAGGGAAAAATCAAACAACAAATAATACAGAAAATTATAAAAAAAAGAAAAAAAACAAGATGAAATAGAAGAAAACAAATTAGTTATTGCTGCACTGGATCTTCCTGAATAAAGTTCTGACTCTTTTCATCAAGAGAACAATCTGTCCATTGTGGACTGGCTATCTTACAGGAGATGAAGCTTTAAACATGTTTTGCTTTAACCCAGAACAATGACAGATGCCGTCTTATTCAAAAATAATATAGAAGAAGATGAGAAACAGTTTAAACAGTGACTTGTGGCAAGAACTGGAAACATAGTCACCTATGACACTCTTGATATTATGTACATAAATAATAGCATTATTTGAGCCAGAAGCTATCATATAACTCAGTTCTGGTTGTGTCCCATGGTCGTGATGCCAACGGATAACATTGATAAGTTTATGATGTTGCTGGATGGTGCACAGCAGTTTCAAATGAGGAGCCTGAAGTATCTCAATTGATCTGCAAGATTAAAAAGGAAGTATCAATATAGAAATTGATGGGAGAAATAAGTACTTTAGTCTCTGTTCTCCAAAAATAATTCATATACACATACATTACCATCCCACTCTGAATAGCCTGCAAATTGGAATACTTTATTATAATAGCACAGCCACCTCTATTTCTAAATATGCATATATTTTTGGTATATGTTATATCTGCTTGCATGGTATGATAATTTTATGAATGTAGGGATGCTTTAAGTTTGATGAATACAAAAATTTGTCAAATTTTGTTCCATGATATTAAAGTGGAACGGTATTAGATAGACACAAAAAAGGACTCAAGTCAGAAAGAGTCCAATTATTAACTTTGTCAATTATATATTAAAACAGTGATAAGTCAAGGATATATAGTCAGGCACTCAAAACACATCATGACAGCACAATCAGTCAAGTATCTGGATATGTCATTTTGTCTGCTCATACTTTATTTGCTCATATTTACTGGGAATTTTTTTCTGTGAACTAAATAATTATATTTTTTTAAATGACTGAAGAATTTTATATTGATTTTGTTGCCCAGTAAAGGAGTTCAACATAAAAGAAATGAGGAAGTCAGTTAATATGCTTGACTCTCAACCATTATATTTGCTATTAAATAGCAAATTAGCATTGAGTTAAAATTTCAGCACATACCCATCTTCATTACCAATAGCCAAGAGAGTGCCATCTGGTTTCCAGCTGATTTCTGTATGTGGTGGTAATTTGTGCTAAAAGAAAATCAATAAAATTATACAGCCTTAATAGTACTGACATCCATTCAATAAATCACCGTTCCTCAATGCTTCTGGCTTTGCAAACTGGTGGTGTTGGGGGGAAGGGAATGGTTCACACAAGCAGCCAGCAAGGGTGTGCAGTTCCATTTGCACGAGTGGTGTGCCTGCTGCTCATACAAATGGAGCACACATGCACGTGTTTGCCTGCTGCTTGCACAAATGTGGGTGTCCATGTGCACATGCACATGCTTGCCGGCCATTTCCACGGCCCAGTTGCAAAATCCTTATGGCCCACTAGTGGGCCACGGCCCACAGATTGGGGATTCCTGCAATAAATAATGTAAACATAGTCAACTGAAGGTTTTCAGGGAGAATAGAGGAATCAGGGAATTCTATCAATTTTCACAATAATCTAGCACAGTGTTTCTCAACCTTGCCAACTTTAAGACATGTGAACTTCAACTCCCAGAATTCTCCAGCAAGCCAAATCTTAAAGTCTCCAAACTTGAGAAAAACTGATCTAGCAACTACCACCAGACAAAGAGGGAAAAGATCAGCTTGATGAGTAGTGGTCAAGATATTAGACTAAAAACCTGGAGATCCTACGATTTAATCTTTCCTTAGGCACGATAACTGGTTAGGTGACTTTGGGTCAGCCATATTCTCTCTCAGACCAACCTACCTCACAGGGTTGTCTTTTTGAGAGGTGGGAGCATTGTGTACATTGCCTGAAGTTATGCAAAATAAAGGCATATATAAAAGAAATAACTAAATGAAAAAAGCCACCATATAATTTCTGTTCATCTAAACTTTGCAAAAATTAATTTATTTTTTCAACCCACAGGCAGACATAATTTTTTATGATTAAAAACTACTCTGTAGGAGACATTTGACTATGGAATTTGAACGAGTCTATCGGTGTCTCATTTATGTATTTATCAAACAATACAAATACATTAATTGTAAGAACTAAGGCCAATCTGAGCAAATCATGCATCCCAGCATTTATACAGGAAATATATATGGCAGCTGTAATATTTCCCTGAAAACAGATACAATTATCACAAAAAACAGGAAACAGGTTAGTATGACAGTATGCTATCTACAGAATGACTTGAATATGAAAGTATTCTCAGCAAGAAATTAGAAACTGTGCTTTCATATAGCTTTTTGACTCCATCCCATGCTCTCACTTCAGTACTGAACATCCAACAAGAGGCATACTAGCATTAAAATGAAATAAGATAGTATGACACAATAAAACAAGTGGCTGAATGCAAGTATCTTGCTTTTCTCAAAGCTACTTGTTCCATTTAAACTTTCCTATGCAAATATGTTGCAGAAATATAGTGGCATGATAGATGGCAATTTTGCTACAAGAGATAATACAGTAATTTGACATAATAAAAGTTCCACAATCAGTAGATCTGGCCAATCTACTTGGAAGAATTTAAAATATTTTCTGAAGTTGTAATAAAAGAATGAAACTTTCAAATGTTTAAAAGTTTTAAATTTCTAACAGATTTTCAGTGAAGAAGATAACAGAAAACAAAGTAGCATCCTAGCCTTATAGACAGTTTGAGAAAGTCAAGGCAGTATTGAATTTATTTGTTAGAATTTTTATTCTGCTCCTTTCTTACAGGCTCTGAGTAGTATATGAAAGTGAGACCCTTTTCCTGCTCACCACAATTATTTTGCATTTGCCTTCTAATGATTACTAGATCGTAACTGTACAGTAATAGCTCATGTCCACTGCTATCTTGGTTATTTGCACTAATTCTTTTTCTCACAAATGCCTATGCTACTTTGCTTCAGTTCTATTTTAATCAATAGTTCCATTTTTTTCACCCATGTTTCTCCTGTTGTTACCTTATACCTCTATTCTGCAGTAGCCAACACTGCATTTTGATTAGTTTGTCTAACATTCTGTCTTCTTTTGTAGTGACCTTAGCAATGCTGAGAAACTTCTTCATAAAGTTTAGCCTTCCTGCAGTTTTGTTTAATCTTCATTGCTTACGCTTTGCCTTTTATTTACATATTACAAACCAACACATTTCAAAGCATTTTATCTTATCACTTGCTTACAATCAAGAAGCTGAAAAAGAGTTCTAGGAATATCACATGATGCATCCCAACCATTTCATCAGCAGATTCTATACCTGAGCAAATTGGAATAATTTCACCAGCAAAATGCTGCATGTAACAACTCATGGGACATTCTTGCTAATTGTTCCTCAGAAAACTGGTGGTCACTTTAAACAGAGCTGCTGAGGCACACTGATTAACACAATAAGGCAGAAAAGTAAGTATGTGTTGCCATGCTTAATGCCAGTGTGTAATCTTGAACATGAGCTATTACCCTTCTTCTTCAATCAAGTTCAGTTTTGAACTTTTTGCTATCCGCTTGTGAGTTTCGTGCCCCATAGCTTCTTAACATTCTATACCAGGACCTCTTCCTTACCCCTTACTTTCTACCTGTGTAGGATTTTAATTTCAGACTGACTTCTTTCTATTTCATTACAGATGGTGAACTGCCAACAACCCAATTCGCACAGCTGAGCATTCTATGTCAATGTGCCAAAAGTTACTTTGGAGTCAGATGTTACTTTCTTCTACTTGAACTATAGCACAGATGGAGAACTAACGAGCAATTTTCATTCCAAGGTCAAAATTCTTACTCACTTTGATTGAATTTGTTTCTCGAATGAGTTTATTGATATCATGAGCTTCTCCATTTAGATTCCAAGGATTATGTTGGAAAACAACTCCTTCTCCTCCACAGCTATATAAGGTTATGGAAGGTCTATCACCATCTCCCCCTACAATAAATAAGAAAACAATGCTATCGTCTCTTATACATGTATATTTTAATGTAATTAGTAGAAAAAAAATCTAAAACTTATTATTTTAAATATTTCTTTTAATATAATAATTCCATCATCCTTTATTGGATCAAAGTACCATCATGCAACATAACTATGACTTAAATCATCAAATTACTGCAAAAAGTAATGGTCAATTGGAATATTCCTGATGTTTATGATTATATTATAAAGCAGTTTCAAAATCTGTGAAGATCTTAATAAAGTTTGAACATGCCCATCATGGGTGGGGGAGAAGATAATGCTATTTCTAGAGCATTATCACAAAATGTGGAGCAAGTAAAAAAGCCAATGAAAAAAATATAAACATATTTCTAAGACTTACGTAAAGACAGTGGAGGAACTGGAGGTCCCCAAACTAAAGCATACACAGTTTTCTTATGGTATGTACTAGAGACTTGGGGAGGCCTAATAGGAAAAGATACATGAAATTGGGATCATTTTTTTAAATTTTTATTTATGTATTGTTTTATCATAAAAAGTAAAATACAAAACAGAAAAATAAACCAACCAAACCAAAACATTGGCATCATTTTTAAAGAAACATATCTGAAGTAACCTCCCTAAGCATTATTTAAAATATCAATAGAAATGAGGAAAGGTCCAACAATTCCTTTAAACTAGAACAGCAATATTTTCCACAATTCTTCTAAACTCCTTTTTACAAGTTTAAAAGTATGTCTGGCTGATCACAGCATCAATTTTCTTTGTATTTTCTCAATACAAGAAACAATAGCAATACTAATTGACCCCCCTCTCTTGATAAATTCTGCCCTCTTCTGTGACTGCTCAAAGGATAAGAATGAACATACAAAATGCATTCTAATTAAAGAGTAATAATAAATCTGTGAAGCAACAGAACAAATTATGAAGAAAACTAAGAAATAACTAGGCTTCTGGAAGATTTTGAATCCGAACATGGTCTGAAGAAGTTCTTTCAGAAAGTTTTCTTAGAATGAACTTGGATCTGGTTTAAATAAATTAATTAAATTAAAAACAATACTAAAATGCTAATTCTATGGTTTTATCAAGTCTCTACCCCTAATAGCATATGGAATTAGGCTGACACTATCAAATACTTTTGCAATAGAAGGTTATCTTCATATGTTTTGCAAACGTTACTTTCTCTTCCTTTGGTTGAGTGCATACTATGCCAAAATCTGGGCAGTTTTGGCTTATCACCTATTGTCATCTGTAATGGTTTACTGAATAGTGAATCAGCCATATATTGATTGTTCAAAAAAACTATAATCATAGCTCATCATTATATATATGTAAATAGATACTAATCAACAAAAATAGTTATATCTTACTTGTTAGAGTATGTATCATAAATTCCAACCTTTCCATCATCTGTTCCAAAAGCTAAACAGCCTTCCTTTGTTGGATGCCAAGCCAACTGCAAACAGAAAACACACTAAGATCTCAACGCTATTGTCAGAATTATGGATTAATGCAAATTATATCCAGGTTGCACTGTGTGACATTAACATAGCTGATAGATACATAATATACTAAAAGTATATCTATACCAGCAGAACATGTAATAAAGGACATTTGTTAGCATTCTCCATAAGCTATGTTCATTTGCAGAAAGCACCACAAACAGAAAACTAACAATGCATGAAATTCTCTGTGATTGAAGCTACTTTTAAGTAAGCAAACTAGCAAATAAACTAATAAATCATTGCATGAAGTATCCTGACAATTTAAAATAATTAGATAGATTTGCAGGTATAGCATTTTAGAGCCTAGTAACATAGTAATAGCTGCCAGTAAAAGAATGAAGATATTAAGCTTAACGATTCATGATCAAAGTTAATTACAGTTTACAGCAGTTCATTACATTATTTTTAAACGCCACTTTCTAGTGTTGCTTTCAAAAGCAGATTTTGTTAATGTTTTTTTCATTATCTTAACATCTGTGCTCAAATTATGCTGAGAATTGTTTTCTTATCTAATGGCCATGATATAAGCAGTGACTTTTAATTAGTATAATCAATACAACAATCTTTATTATTGTTAATATGTTTAAATAATGTTTAAATCATTTTAAGTAAATTATTTCTGACGTTTTAATAAATATGTATATAATTAGCACTCACAGTACATAAAACATAAGTAATATCCAATGTAGAAATCATTATTTTGAGTTGGAAAATAAAATATATATTGAAAAACAGGAACAGAAGAATACTTACAGCTGTGACTTTGGATTTAATGCCCTGCCAGAAAGTTTTCACATCATAATGATTATTAATTGACATGGTGTTCCACACTCGGAGCATGCTGTCCCCAACTCCAATAGCAAGGCAGCCTATATCTACAGGTGAAAAGGCCAGGCTGTAAACAAAACCCCCAAGAGAAGGCATAGTCCAACAGCAATTCGAAGTTGCCAGATCCCAACACTTCACCTACAAAGAAAAAAAAAATACGAATGGAGCTTCAATAAAAATTCACCAAATCAAAAGCCATGGAAAAGTTCAGTAGGAAAATTATGAAGATTTTCCAAAGAATTTCTGAAGGGAAGCACTGATCTGCTCTAAAAGTGAGTAGATTCCTGCTGAGATTCTATGGATAAATACACTAGAATTCTACAAATATCAGACGTAAGACTAGATTCAAAGTGTAAAAAGCTAATGTGCTATTTGATTCAACGTATTCTTCTGCATGAGAGTTAAGATGTTAAATGTTGAAGATCAAAGTAAAGTGAAGACAGATGAGTCAGCGGAAGGTCTAGTTCCAAAAACTGTGAAAAGGAGTCAAAGGGAACTGTAATGCACCAAAGCAAAAAACAGATTTATGATAATAATTCAAATAAAAATGCCACCAAACTTGCAAAAATCCCTCACAAACATTTGATCATTTTTCTCTGTAGGCAGATCTGTTATCAGCAATGATATGGAAAAAACCAGAGGACGAAAACTCACATATTCCTAGAATCAGCAGCAAAGATAGGTCAACTTTTGTGGAACCTTCAGATCAGAACGTTCTCAAGGGCTTTTTAAAACAAACAAACAAACAAGCAAGCAAGACATATGATCCTTACATCTCTGTCCATTGAAATGGAGAAAAGAAGTTGTTTGTCTTCTACTTGCAAAGTACACAAGTTGAAGACTATTCTAGAATGGTTTTGTCCTTCAGACGAAGCCCCCAGGAGTTCCCATTTCCGCTTCCCAGGCTGTGCCAAATCCCACTTCAGCAATTCACCACTATGAAAAATAAACATGCAGAAAGCAAGAAATTGTTAATTCATAAAGTAGATTGTTTTTTAAGTATATAACCTTTTACACTTATAGTCATATTGCACAAAATATGAAATATTTTGAAGTCTAATAAAATTGTATTTTAAAACAGAAATTCAAAAAGCTTTATTTCACATGTACAGAATGATCATTATAATTCACAGGGAAATCTTTCTAGATCGTTTAAGAATTCAGAAACATGCAACATAGAAGAGACATATATCCAATGTCCCCAAACTAGTGCTCTCCAGATATGTTGAAGATGCAAATCATAGAATTTGAGCCTGTACGTCCAAAGCCTCAGGATTCTAGGAGTTGTAATCTTCACACATCCAGAGGGTACTTTTTGGAAATATAAAGCAAATTGCTTAGAAAGAGAGGTTGTTTTTGAAAAGTTGGAGGTATATTGAGAAAACAAAGAAAATATATAATGTTAAGGAATTAATCGACAGCTTCCCCAAACTTATTTTCTTATACTTTTGCCTTTCAGTCAGCCATTTAATTTGAGAGAATACTCACCCAAAGCAACTGGAGAGAATGCATGTGGGCTGATTTGAAGGCCAGTGTAGTGTTAACCAAAGACGCTCTTTGACCATTGGTTCAACACCTCCACCTCTTCTTTTCAAAAAGGGCAATTTCAAGCTCATTACCACTAGAAAAAAGAAAAAAATAGAGACTTCAAGCCTGCATTGATATCAAAATAAAGGAGAAATTCTGGAATGAAAATGGGATTGTTCCATTTAATTTTATTTAAAAAACCCTTTTGCACATGTTCTGTAAGACACAAATTGATATAGACATAAATACTGTTGAACATGATATTTCTGATTGAATACATGGAATTTATTTACTAAGTTCAGACGGCCAAATTTTCAAGGAATCATTAAATCTTGTTATGGGGGGGATGCCCTTCTAGGGAGCAAAGAAAGAAAATGTGCACTTCCTGGAACAGATTACATTGTTTAATTGATGAGACCCGGAGCATGCCTGGTTGGCCTGCTCATACAAAATGGGCAAAAACAATAGGAGGTAGGCGATCCATCAGATAACAGGGCCATGTGCCATGAAAAGTTTTATAGGTAATAATTGGCATCTTGAAATGCATGAAAAGCCCACTGGCAGTTTCATGTAGATGTTAAACAGGAGTATCAAGCTTTAAGGCGCCCCACAGGTATGGAATCTCAGGCTCAATCTCTTCTGGAATCACACACAGAGAAAGGAAAATCCGAACGCAGTGCTCCTATTCCCAATTGCTATACTCAATCCATAATGATGATCAATGGATCAAGAACCAGGATAATTGCAACATTCCCATTCTGGCTCTGCCAGAGGCTATCTACAGACACTATGGCCAAGGTCATAGTCTAAAGCAGAGTTCCCAATCTTTCTGGATTGGTGGCCCAGAGCGGGGGAGGGGGGAAAGAGGGGATGATTTTGTGGGCAAGACAGGCCCATGTGCATGAGCACTGTTTGTGATGCAGCTCGCATGAGTGTGGCTGCAAGCGCCCGCAATGAGGCTCGTATGAGTGTTGCTGCAAGCACCCACAAGGCTTGCGCTCATGGGGTTGCAACCGCTCTCAATGACACTGGTACGAGTGTAGCCACCAGCGCCCGCAATGAGGCTCATGCAAGTGGGGCCACGAATGCCCGACGCTTGCAGCGCTGCTTGCATGAGTGGTGCTGGCCAGCCATTCAGGTGGCCCGGTGATTAAGCCACAACCCAGTATTTGGCTGTGACCCACAGGTTGGGGTCTCCTGACCTAAAGGACCCTTTCTTATTTCTTAGGAATTATGCGCCCAAACTCAACCCAGCTAAACCTATAAGATTGAGCCTCAGGCATTTCAACAAGATCTGCTCAGTCAGAGTACAAACAATGGGATCTGAACAGCTTTAGCGATGATCATTGTTGGCTTTATTATAAAAAAAGACTATGTGCCATTTCAACACATTTAAATTCACACAATTCAGGATTGGATGTTATGTAAAATGAGAATTGATGAGGCAACTCCCTTCTTATCTATAATTGATAAACTTTCAATATCATGAAGCACAGAGAAAACAGAGTTAAAAAATACATTATGTTATCAAAATAATGTATAATTTCTCCAGACTTACTTCTATTTGTATTACAGCTCCATACACGAATGGTCTGATCTTTGCTTCCTGATGCCAAATAATAGCCTTTTTCTACACCTGCCTCTTCTGTTATGGCTCCTGTAATGGCATCTTCTTCTGAAAGTATCCAGAAATCAGTTAAAAATAGTGTTGTTGTCTTTAGCTTGCGCTACAGAAGCTAATATTACTACAAAACTCACACTGCTGTTATATTGCAATACATATGCTTTATATATACCTTCGCAATCTTGTTTACTGAACAGAGCATCTTCACCAAGCACAGGGCACCATGCCAAAGAATGTATTTCATCATCATGACCTCTCAGGCGATGAACAATATCTCCCTTTTTGCTGATGTCCATAACAATCACAATCCCATCTTTATAGCTTAAGATAAAAAGATTTATATTGAGCAAACAATATTTAATTTCTTAGCTAACAAGTCATGTTCAATAAATAATCCCAATACTAGATGCAGCCCATTCATGCTTGTAATGTAATCTTTGCTGTTTGTAAGAGCAGAGTGGGAAACATAAACCTTAGGATGGAAGTGCTTACACTGACTAATAAGTGGGAGAAATAAGTGAGATTTCAGCTCATAAGAATTGTAAACAAATGATAATATTTTATACAGGTTTCATAATCTAACATAGAATGCTAATAGTTTCTGCATGAAATTTAATGTTTCTGCATGAAATTGTTTCTGCATGAAATTAATGAATCTGAACAGCAAAACTTTCCAGTTGGAGTATTTCTCAGCCTGCCAGGAACTATATACTGAACACAACAGAAAGCGTTCTATGTTCTATATCTGCAGATATACAGTATAGTTTATGGGGAAAAACAAATGTTTCTGAACATAAAGTATATGCTTTCTTGGCATTACATCAGTTTGTAAAACTACTTTATGTGAATATGGAACAATGCATACTTTAAGTTAGTCCGTTTATTTTCCCCATTATTCTAGAAATATGCAACACTTAAGAAAGATAAAGTGGAATTAATTAGCATCCTAGATTTAGACTAGGGCTGAAATCTCTTTCTCCATAATCACATATTTGTTTTATAAATATGTATCTCTTCAATGTAATCCTAACTAAACCATGTTAGGATGATCATGTCTTTCCAACCTGTACTTAGCCGAAGCTTTCTATATGTTGAAATGGTATATCTGAATAAAACTCTTTACATTAAAATGATGCCAGTTAAAGGAATTGATTGCCCTCTTGTAACATGAGGGTACAATCTATTTTAACTCATGGCTCTGTGATTATTGCATTTATTTTTCCTCCCTTTCTTTAACAAACCTTTTGACTTTTGCTTGTCAGCTCTGTAACTGAGTGCTGGTTGTTGACATAACCAACATTTTTACCCTAAGAAGTTTTAACTCCCACAATGTATAGAGTAATATCCTCTGATAGCACTACAAAATTAATAATAGGATTGAAACAGAAGGAAATAAAATAATGTGTATTCAACAACTTAATCCATCACTTGGTATAAACAGTGTGAAACCAACACACACACACCTCGTTTCGTTTCCCCCTAGTATTAATCTTTTTAGCACTGACAAAACAGTTTGTTGAGTGGTTAAGGCACCAGGCTAAAAATGGAAGGTTGTGAATTCTAGACCCGCATTAGATACAAAGCCAGCTGGGTAACTTTGAACCAGTTATTGTCTTCCAAAATAACTAAATGAATCTCCAAAGGAAAACTAGATCCTGTATTCTCAATGTAGATGAGAATATAATTTAGTAACAGAATATTTTTGATTGTTATTAATGAAAATATTCTCCCTGAAAGTTTTCCACATTTTAAAGTATTAACAATAGGGTATTGTATTCTGCTTCAAAACCTCAAACAAATTACTTGAACTCATTAGTTAGTTCAAACTAACAAAGCAGCTTGCAGTTCAATCAACTGAAACCTGGAACAATTTTGCTGTTCCAACTTTTACCTATGCAAAAGATGGACAAGCCTATAGGGCAAGTATAGCAATGCAGGGTGTTTTGTCCCTCTTTCCCTGACTTTTCTATATGATTTTTGTATCAGTTTGCCTGCTGATATGAGGATCTGATCTGATCCAAATGTTTGAAGCAGATTCAGAAGGCCATATATAAAAAATGAGGGAGAATCTGACTCATGAGTGAAATGGACACCACTGATAAAAACAACACTTATTTCAACTGCTTTCTCATGTATTAGTATATAGTATTATAAAATATATCAAATATATAAACATTTGATCCTTACCCAATAGCTATCAGATTTTCATGGTGAGGAGAACAAGTGAGACAGAATATAGTTCTAGGTTCTGGAAAAAATTGCTGACTGTCATTTCGATTATGCCAGTAACAAATCACTATCCCCTTCTCATCACCAGATACAACTAGATCTTTTGCTCTGGGTGACCAGTGCAATGCAGAAATCGTATTCTAGAGGGGAAAAAAAAACAGCACAATTAAAAGGAAAATTAAATGTTGATATTTTTTGAGGTTTTGTACAACACTCAAATATAAAAAGCCAGAATTTAAATTTGCAAACTATCTCAGTTACTTCCAGAATCCAGTGGGTCCACTGGTTAATAACCAAAGGTCAATAACGAATGTTCCATATCTCTTCCAAGGTGGAAACTGAGACAATGATCTCTATCTCTTTCTTTCTTGAAGTAATGACCAGCTATTTACTAGAGTGCTAAATAATTCAGGAGTACTTTATAGAAAAAAATTAAGAAAACACATTTTCCAAACATTTCATAAAAAACATATTACATCTAAAGACTAATTGGATTAGTCATAATCCAATCACATATAAATAAAGATGAGAACTGATTCATTTGAAAATAAAGGTGTTATATAGACCTTTATTTACTCTTAGGATATTAGAATTATCATTATTGGTATCAAATAAAAGTTTTCATCTGGAAAATATAACTTCATTATGAAGTGCCTATCTATGCACCCAAGAGATATGAAAATTAGAAAGAACAAAGAAGAAGAAAGGCAAGTAGCAGGATTAAATAAAATAAACAGACTGCATAATAATATTTTTTCACACTATCTCACAGCCTGCCATGTAGACAATGTATACACAGTACAAATCTTGATAAATATTTGATTCCATATTTCTCTAAAAAAAATTTCAGTGATGTTTTGCTCTAGAATATAATAAAATGTGCATCACAAACTAACAAGTGATCGAGAACTACCATTTCCAATTCATTTTACCTGATGTAGTGTATGTTCCATCATGACAGTCAATGTTTGGACATTCCAAATTTTCACAATTCCATCATCAGAACTGCTGGCACAATAGTAGTTTTGTCCAGGGTAGGGGCAAAATGTGAAGCCAGAAACTCTTTCAGTGTGGCCTATTAATTCCCCTGCAGTGAAAAATATATTAGACTTGTAAAACAGATCAACTCTTATTTTGAACAATTTTACCCCAATTAACATTCCTAATTCCCAGCTAAAGGAATAATTTGCATTCAAATTATTTTAAGACATCAGCTCAATATAATAAAAACATTTAAAAGTAGGAAAGTAAACAGCAAAATGTGCACAATGGCTGGGATAGGAAGACTATCTTAATTTGACAAGAGGCAGCCTTTTTGGGCAAGACATTCTGTAAGATAAGATAATCTTTATTGTCATTTTTATACTGTGGGCACAATGGAACCCATCAAAAATGAAATTTAGTTGTCCGCTCTCAAAGTGAAGCACATACATGACACACACCTAAACATACTATGAACAACGTATGTATAGACCCACATCTCTACATATATGTAGCAAATAAATATTAAATATTATCCATCTTGAATATATAACGGAAAGAGGAAGCTTGAGAGTTTGCAAGGTTAATGCTGTATGGAATGAAACTCTGGCTGAATCTGGATGTTCTGCTTCGGATACCACGAAGCCTCCTCCCAGAAGGTAACAAGGAAAACAGGTCATGAAGAGGATATTAGTGTCCCAGATAATCTTACGGACCCTGCTCAAGCAGCGCTTCTGTGCTATGTCCTGGATGGGAGGGAGGGAATTGCCAATGATCTTTTCAGCCATTCTCACCACTCTCTGCACTGCCTTCCTGTCTGAAGCAGTGATGCCTCCAAACCAGACTGTGATGCTGTATGACAGGATGCTCTCAAATGTCCCCCTGTAGAAAGTGATCAGGACAGGGGAAGGAAGATGTGCTTTTCTCATGCGGTGCAGAAAATGCAGCCGCTGCTGTGCCCGCTTCACCAGTTTCTCACTGTTGAGCGACCAAGTCAGCCTACTCGTTAGCTGCACACCCAGGAATTTGATGCTGGTAACCATCTCCACAGGTGAATCATTTATGCACAGAGAAGTGTGGCTGTGTCTGCCTTTTCTGAAATCAACAATGATCTCTTTGGTTTTTCTGATATTTAAAACTAGGCTGTTTTCCTTACACCAATTCCCCAATCCTTCAACCTCCTTGCGGTAAGCTTCCACCTTGTCATCCTGAATGAGGCCCACTACTATTATATCATCTGCAAACTTCACAATATGGTTGGTGGCAAACCTAGCACAACAGTCATAAGTCAACAGGGTGAACAGCAGTGGACTTAAGACACAGCCCTGAGGAGAACCTGTGCAAATGATGAAACCCTTTCTATTATGGCCATCCATCTCATTCTATTTAGTAGGGGAAATAAGAATAGAATAGGAATAAGAATGAATAGAATAGAGCTGGAAGGGACCTTGGAGGTCTTCTAGTCCAGCCCCCTGCACAAGCAGGAGGACTTATCCTATACCATCTCAGACAAGAAATAAGAAGTGGATCTTTGGACACAGATAGACTCTGACCAGGTATGTGTGGCATATTATATTTTTCTCAGTCCCTTGGCTTCAAGTTTGTAAGGGATTTAGCTCTCTTCCAGAACTCTGAATTCAATTCAGAAATAGGCAAGACGTTAGGACAAAGCCTACTGCTCATACTGGTACATAGTGAGATTTCTACGCAAGCATGGGTGAACCCACGCTTAGTGTTTCCCAAATATAAACAGTTATGCTCCCTTAACCAAATATAATAAGTAATGCACTGCTCCTTCGTACAGAGCATACTTCAGGTGAGATTAACAGGGGTTACTGAGTAAGTTTGTAAAATGGACCTATTTACCTTTTTTCTCTCTATAGCTAACCCTATAATTAAATTTAGTCGCAGGGGAGCCAAGACGTAACAATCGTCTTAAACAGTACACTGGAGCAATATACTCCTAGAAGGCTGAGTCTTCATAATTGGAAAACTAGGCAGATAGTCGGCTGAAAGCTTTCCCACCTGGTCGCCATCCACCAAGGATGACGAGAAAGGAAGTTATTCTGGCTTTTAAGTCGGGAAACGGCAACTGCTGTTCTTTCCTAGGACTGTCCCGAGAGAAGAAAGAGGCTTAGGCACCACAGAGGGGCTGGTGGGTGGTAGTGGTGGTGGAGGAGAAAGACCTTGCCTGCTGAGTCTCAGCCCAGGGCACGTACCATAAAAGGTGGGAACGGTAGCGCGGACCTCCAGGAGACACAGGCTGTGCCGAGCCGCGAAGCCGAAGAGATGCCCATCCTGGGAAGCGTCGCTGCACCGGCTGCAGTACCAGTTAGGAGAAGCGGGCAGCACGCGCTCGGCGGCCCCACCGCCCAACGCCGCCGCAGCCATCGCACGAGTCTCGAGGAAGCGTCGCGGTCACGTTGGGGCTTCCAGGAGGCTCCCGGCAGCTGTCACCACGCACCGCCGTAAAGCCGGATCTAACTTCCCTCACGTGCTGTCGCAAGGGGGGAGCACCGTACGGCAAATGCTTTAGGTCGATCCGCAGCTGCTCCGGCTTCTGCCGTAAAGGCGATCGGTCGGTCGGTCCTTGTCTGAAGGCTGCGAAGATGTCGCTGCTGGGGATGCTCTGTGGTAAGCCTTGCGAGGCGAGCGGCCTGCGAAAAGGTGGGGGGGGGGAATTACTCGGGGATCCCACGACTCACATCTTCTTTCTCTCTCCCAGGAATTGCCCGCGCGTGGAGCCTTGGCGGTTGCCCTCGGGTCGGGAGGTGAGCTTTCGCACCTGAAGTTCGCGGAAGTTAAGAAATCCATCAAGGGACAGAAATTAGAATCTGTGAAAATAGTTATTTAGGGTACAGCTTCCTTTGGTATTTTTTGCAGTGCTGTATTAATTTCGGGATTTAATCTGTTATTTACCACAGACCCAAAGCTTGATGAATCTCTTGGGAATAAGATGTTTCTAGGAAGATCTATTCTTGCATTTCCGCTTTATTTGTTTCGGCCCCTGCCCCAGTATTTTTCAGTGTTTTCCCCAATGGTGCTGTTTTGCAAAAGGTAGCTGTAATGATCATTTATTTGAATTTTAATGAAATTAACCCATTTAATATTGCGTGCATCGTGATTTCCTCTAAGCGTTTCCTTTCTCTGTATCTGTAAAGTTGTCAAAATGGATTACAAATTACAAATGAAGTGCAAATACATAATACAAATGTCCTCCACATCATGCCCTCAAGCTGTGTGGGACATCATATTCCAGCATATTGAACCAGTATTTCCAATGGCTATTATAATGCATTTGATATCCTTTAAGATGCTGCAAAATTCCTAGTAACAAAGAATAATTAAGAGGGATTCACAACTCCATGCATTTTCAAATTGCATATTGAAATCATACTAACAAATGACTTAAAATAGATTATGTTCAATCTCCTTTTTGTCCTTGGTATCAAATTGGCATGGATTAAGTTTAATATAAGCTGCAATACATTTTAAAAAACTTCATAAATAGTATTTTGTAAAGATGACATAGTGTACCACAATTTTCAAATTGCAAGAGCCCACTATATAGTTGATTAGAATTTTTTTTTCTTGAATTCTACTTTCCTGAAGGAATGGCAGTAGAAAAACCATGATTCTTTGCTCGCATCATCCACTTGACTTCCAATAAAAATCCCTGTTTGGAACCAGTGTCAGGATATACAACAATAAGGTTTTTTATATAATATCTTTATTAAGTTTCAACATCATACATTAAAATAGAGGTCCCCAACCTTTTGGACACCAGGAACTGGTTCCGTGGAGAAAGGTTTTTCCACGGATTGGAGAGTACCTCGTTTTGTGTGCTGCCTGCATCCCACGGATGAGGCTTTGCTTGTTTGTGCGGCTCAGTGGCTGGCATGCCGCGGCCCGGTACCTGTCTACGGACCAGGCATTGGGGACCCCTGCGTTAAAATACAAACTAACATAACAGAAAATAGCAAAAACATAGATGCCAAACAATGCATCTAACAAATACAAAGGTGACCTTTGACTTTCTTTTAGTACAGACATACCTCTCTCTAGAGTTAAAGAAATAATACCAATCTGTTAAATATCTTAAAATATTAATAATCAATTTACTAAAAACCCACATTCCTAAAATGTTCTCTTAATTTCATATAAAAGATAAGTTATCAAATGCAAATATGTTTATATTTAAAAAGCTACAATATTTCTCTAGTCAAATCCAATCCAAACTTCAAATTCCAAAATAAAAAAATGATTATTTTTCCTGTAAGAAATTTATCAATGGCCTCCAAGTCATATGAAATTTAATCAAATTATTGTCTCTAAGCAAAGCAGTCAATTTTGCCATTTCAGCTAGTTCCATTTAATTTCAAAGTCCATTCTTCCATTGTAGATATATATTCTTTCCATCTTTGGGCCTATAACAACCTTGTCACCATTGTCATATGTAAAAACAAAGTCCCATGTTTTTTCTCCATCTGTTTATCAGCTATCCTAAAAAAAACCTTCTGATTTCAATATTACAACCATTTTCAAAATATTTATTCCAAAGCATGAATCCCACATCTTTAGAAATGGAGCAACAGGAAACAATATTTATGGAGTCAGATAGTTCATTAGTTTTAAGTGAGTGCAACAACATATCTTCCAAATTCAATTGGTTTTGGCAGTCACTAGATTTTAGAAAATATGACTTGTCAAATGAAGAGGACTGGACCATTTATAGCATCATGGTCCATGTTCTCTCCTATGGCATTTTCTATCTTAGACAGATCAGGAGCTACTAGGTAATCTGGCCTGAAAAATCTGTGATATAACAATAGGGACAATGTTTCTTTGGTGACTTCTTCCTGTAGTTTAAAATAATAATTGACAAATTGATCTTTGCTAATATTGCTATGAGACATTGATAATACAAAATCTCCCAGATTTGAATAGTCCTGTGGTAGTTATAGTCCAGGAGTCTTCAAACTTGGCCCTTTTATGACTTGTGGACTTCACCTCCCAGAATCAGGCAGGCACGCTGGCTGAGGAATTCTGGGAGCTGAAGTCCACAAATCATAAAAGGACCAAGTTTGAAGACCCCTGTTATAGCCAGATGCTTCTCTTCACAAATTCCATGCAACACTGGACTTAACATTAAGCACAATAGTTAAAGTAGGGAACTATAAAAATGTTTTGTTTTAAACATCAGAAATAATACAGATGAAGTAGCAATTATTTTTCATGTATTTTAATAAAAACATGGGATGCTCTCCTGCTTGTGGCCAAGACCATGAGCCCAGCAGAGAGAAAGCAGGTGAAGGTACAATGTAGGTCAGCTAGGGGCATGGCTGCAGGGAGGCAGTTGTAAATGCAGGCTGGCCCAAATTTTTATGTGACTGCAGGGGTTGTACACAACAGTTGTACAAGGACTGGTCACAAGCTCATTTTTTCAGCACTTTTGTAACTTTATTAATTAATTTAGATATTAATTCAAATTGATTAGCTTTTGAGTGTTCTCACATTCTCTGATAGTATGAAAGCATTATATATTTATGATCACTAGATGGCACTGGAACACCCTGTAAAGCATAAAGTATTTGCTTTACAGAATAGATTACTGAAGGAAAACTTTCTTTCCATGAAATTTAAAAGTTGGTATAGAGCCAGTAGAGAAGATCTAAAGATACATACAGAAATTCTAGAACCCAAGAGAATTTACCTTTCTTAGACAGTAACCAGCTGACTGCTTCTTATGAATGTGAGGAATTTTTCAGTAGCTCTGATATTCTACACTTTTTAAATAATTGGAATCAAATATTATCAAATAATATTTCAAAAAGATTTCAAGGGCATTAGATATGTGCCTAATGTAATTTCATACTCAGATTATTAAATAACAGTAGACATGAGTTCCTTTAAAACAATACATTTAGTATTTTTGTTTTTGTTAAATACATACAGTCAAATGCGCACTATTTACACTGAAGAAAGTTTATGTATGATGAAATATTCCTAAAGTGCATATAGGATACAAATGAATGAATGTAAGGATTAAAAACTGGATGGCCAGCCCCAAACTAAACAGTTAAAAAGAACAAACTGAAAACTGTGGAAGGAAGAATGGAATATAATAAGTATAAAATGAGAGAATCCAAGAATGACTGATAAAAGTAATAGTAATAATGATCTCATTGGCTAGATTCACACATTGTATTAAGTCATATGTTTTGCTTTTTGCTTACTATTATATACCAATTCAGCCAGTGCAATTTTAAACCACAATTTATGGCGTAACATAAATATGAATTGTTACTGGTTGATTGGAAAAAATGGCTGGTTGTTATGGATCCCTTTCTGATTTACAGTAAGCTACTTTTTAATGGGTGAAAGTGACAGCTGTCACTGAAAATCCCGTATTTTAACAGTACTTGAGTTTAGGCTCATGTGTATTTACTTCACTTTGCACCAAAGAATTGTTGTTTCCATATAGTTAGATTATACATAAATGCAAGATATTAATAAATAGCTATATTTGTGGATATATTGTTTTGCAGTGCAGTTGAGGAGGTTGGCCTAAAATGAACATTCCATATCCTATTGTGTATTAGGTTATGGAATTAGAATAAATATAGTTTCTTTGGAATGAATTTAACATTCAATATCATAATAACTGTTGCAATTGGTGAGGTGTTCTTGGTGCTCTCTGAGCTTGGTTGGTTTTTTTGCAGACATTTCATTATCCAAAACAGGTAGCATCATCAGTGGGTAATGAAATGTCTGCAAGAAAACAACCAAGCTCAGAGAGCACCAAGGACCCTTCATTTCAACCCTGAGCTACAAATATTCTCCTTTATGTATATTGCAACCAGAACCAGTGATAGGATTTAGCTTTTGTAAAATGATAAAACCTTGTCTTGTAGGGTCCTGGCATCTTCCAGCATTCCTCTTCTATCAAATACATGCAGGTCTTTCGGGTACAGTACAAGGTGGGAAAAAAAGAACAACATCACCTATCCTCCACAAGGGCCAGATGAACCTCGAAGACCAGCAGTAAGTCCTAATTTTATGAGGAGTAGTTTTTGAGAGCTGTGTTGGAGTTGGCAGCTATAATCATCATCATGTCCTGTGCAAAACAATGGGCTGCAAACATACCCCACAGTTCTCAGTCCATAGCTACAATCCCCACATCCTTCCATTTAAGATTGATGTTTTTCAGATCTTCCTGAAATGTTTGGTGCCAGGTTTTCTTTGGCCTTCCTCTTTTTCTCTGACAATCTGGTGGTATCCAATTGATTGCTGTCTTTGCTGGACATTCTCACTTATGCGGAGCACATGTCCAACAAAGCGGATTCTTCATTCTATCACCATCTCAGAGAGTCTTCACGAATTACTTCTTTGTAGAATTTCCTTGTTTGTGACATGGTCCCTATATGAGATACGAAGAATCCTTCTGAGACAACGCTGCTGGAAGATGTTGATCTTATCAATAATTCTTCTAGAAGTCAAGGCCTCACTAGCATAGATGGCAGTTGGTATGGCAATGGCATTAAATAATCTGACCTTGGTTGCTGTATTTATGGTGGATGTGGCCCATAGTGACATAGTGAGCATGTTTGTTGGAAGACAGCAATTATAATAAATGTAATGAAATAAATGTTGAGCATTTTATAGCATCTCATTTGGATTAAACTCATAGGCCTAATATATATATATATACAAATAATTTGTATACAAATAATTCCTTGTAGTTCTTTGGCATTTTTGGGGTGAGATAGATTATGAAAAACCATAGAAGACTTCCATGTCTTCTTTCAGAACCATTCTAGTACTCATCACTGTAATAGGTCAATAGCACTCATTTTTGGGAAGGTGCAAACTTTAAGGTAATGCATTTTATTTCATTAGCAACTGAGCCTTTCTCTTCCAGTGATCAATTGAGAATACCCAGAAGGGAAAAGTAAGATCAGATGGAAGACGTAATGGTAATAGAGAAGAATGTCAATGGCATAGTTGAATGGACTCTGGTCAAGTTAATTCCCATATCTCCTATAAAACTGTGTTAAAATTTAACTGCTTCAATATACCATGCTAATGGTTTATATAAAATAATATCAGCCACAATGTCAGGATTTTCTTAAGATACCTGACAGCTTCTTCTAACTAGATAGTATTCAGGTAGATGGACTAGTGTCTAAAATTGATCGGCCTGTGATCTTAGGTGATTGCCTAATCACTTCTCATGAGATTTCAGCAGTCTTGCTTAGAAATCCTATAAGATTCAGCTGACTTTTATTTTTTAAACTGTAATTAAAATTAAACTAATTAAAATTAAAACTGTAATGTGTAGTGTTTGAGATGTTAGAGGATGCTCTAGGGCTGTGGTTTGTTGCTGATATGTACTATAAAACAATTTGATTCAAAAAGTTACATTTAGGGTTTGAGTCTTGAATAATCTTGGCTCTGTCTCTTCTGTGCTCAAATATGGATGCATTCATTTGGGGATAAGTTGCTATAACCATTTTACCTCGCTACTTTTATGTAATAAACATTTCTTTTTTAAAGGAAATATACCACAGTCGAAGAGATATCAAATATAACAAGGACAAGATGTGGTACCTGGCCAAATTGGTAAGAGCTGTTTTGATAGATTTCTTAGATGCATGTTTATATGATCCTGATAGCTTTTCCTGTGTCATCAGCTTATAGTTATGCTACTTCAGTGTTTTACTCAGACCTCAAAGCAATAAATAAGAACCAATGTGGTACAAGTAACCATTGCTTACTGATTGCTTATTTAGTGGCTATTTGAAGTTACAACTGCTGAAAAAGGAGTCTTGTGACTTGTTCTCGAACTTGCACTGGTCACAGTGTCCCCAGGGTCACCTCATCATGATTTGGGTGCTTGGCAATTTGCACACATTTATTTTGGTCACAGTGTCCTGCAGTCACATGATTGCCATGGTGACTTTCATAGCTGGCTTCATGGTGGCATCACAGTTAACAACTGCAGTGATTTGCTTAACCACAGTCAGAACTGATGTCATAAGTTGGACATGGTCATGTTATGTTTCACTTTACGACTGTGTTGCATAGCGACAGAATTTCCAGTCTCACTTGCAGTTGGTAAGTGGGGACTTCTTGTACAGTTCTTTTATGCCAAAATATCTTTGCCATTGTAATCATTTTGAGACTTTTTTGCACAGATACGGGGAATGGGCATTGATGAGGCATTGGCACAGATGGAATTCAATGATAAAAAGGGAGCAAAAATAATCAAAGAGGTATGTTACAGTTTTCTTTAAAATGTGTTTCCAATTTTGGTTAATCCCATTTATCTGAGAGCTTTTCTGAAATTTATTACTCAGTATATGCAGAGATTTTATCTGTATATTATGTGAATTTTTGATTTCCAAACAAGATTTTATACTTTAGAAAATATGACCATTTGGCTGTGGTTAAACCTGATGTATAGAGTGTGAAAGCAAGGAATGGGTCCCAGGAGTTAGGAAGCAGAAGAATAAAAAATGCTAATGTAAGAAAGTTAAAGGAAGTTTACTAAACAGTAATGGATTAGAAAAAGTATGTCTGACTATGTTTTGACAGAAAAGGGAAATTGAGGTAAGATAGAAAAGAGTCTTGGAAAAAAAATTGTGATGCTTATTATAAAGGTGGAATGGACTTCAGCTCAATATTGTTGGGGAATGGAATTTAATTAAAACACTCTCCATCTTAAGGATGTTGGGATTGGATGATTGTCTGAAAGACGCTTATGTCATCAAGAGGCCAGCATGAAAATATAGAATGCAGTAATCTTCCCACCGAAGTGATATCTATTTATCTACTTGCATTTGCATGCTTTTGAACTGCTAGGTTGGCAGGCTCAGCAATTTAGATGCTGAACTTGTCAGCTGGAAAGCCCACAGCCCAAGTTCAAAACCAGAGTGCCATGCGATGGGGTGAGCTCTCATTACTTGCCCCAGCTCCTGCCAACCTAGCTGAACATAGATACCTACATATCCTCAAGTTGGAGAATACCACCAGCTTCTGCTTCTCTGGGACATGGATCTGTTTGAACTTCTAAAAGTTAACTAAGGCAATGCTCTGCTCAGTGATCTGGCAATAAGTCTCATGGAATAAAAATCCCATTAATTAGAATACAGAAGCTTCTGCTCTGAAGAGCATAGGATTTTCAATATGCTAAGATTCAAATATTCCTTTGTTTCTCTTTGTAGAGCTTTAAAGCTCTTAAATTGAAAATGTTCATGATCTCTGTGACTTTATTACATTTTTTTCCTTTTTCATAATAGGTTCTTCTGGAAGCCCAGGAACTAGCAGTGACAAAATATAATGTAGAATTTAAATCCAATTTATACATTGGTAAATACTTTATAATTGTATGAAACTTTCCCAAAAACAAAAAGAAAAGCAGAATGTAATGTAATTTATAATTTATAGATAATCCTCAACTTACAGTTGGGACCACAATTTCCATTGCTAAGCAAGATGGTTAAGTGAATAGTACCAATTTTACGACCTTTTTTCCCATGGTTGTTGAGCAAAGAGAACAAGTACAGAGAAAAGGGTTTAAGAAACACTGATGCATAGTATAAGTAAGATCTGACAGATTGTTTATCACATTAGAAGGTGCTTACCTTTAATATTTTTATTTTATACTTTTATTGTGTTTCCTTGTTTAATGCTTTATATAGAATTTTGAATGGGGTCAAGATGAGTCACTGATGTGAGACAAGTTTCCAGAAGTAGCAACACTCTTGGCACAGTGGCGGTAGGCAGAGGTAGCTGATGAAGACAAAAAAGAAAAATCTTTTTAAAAAATAGTCCTGCTAGTTCAGAGTGAAGGATAGCAGCTGTCACATGTTTTAAAATGTATTCATCCATTCTTTTTATTCATTTGGCTTGATTATCTTAGAAGACCGAACCATTTTCTCTTTTCTTTGAGATGCATTAAACAGCTAAGGAACTGTTGAACTGACTGTTCTACTAAGTGTTTCTTTGGATCTCTGTGGTAACCAGGTTTTTCCTTTGATATTCTCTAGCTGAATCATTTTCTGGAAAAGGACACTATATAAAAAGAATCCGCTACCATGGCAAAGGCTGTTTTGGGATTATGGACAAAGCCAAATGTCATTACTTTGTGAGGTTAGTTGAAGGACCACCTCCACCTCCAGCACCTGTAAAGACTGGATTCAATCAAGCTAAGGAGTATGTAGAAGAACTTCGTAAACGAACCATAATCAATACACTATGACAGCTTTCATAGCATAGTATATCTGTTTTTCCTTTTTGATAAAAACTTAAATAAAGTACATTTTATAAATAAGTTTTCAATTTCCTGTTTCTGAAAACAGTCATTCATTATACATTGGTATTTAAGAAAGGTACTTTTGCTAATGGAGAACTGTTAGAATTGCCCTGGTGGTCAGAAAACAAAATATTTTTTTTGTACTGGATAGTGGAAGGCAGTATGCCCAATACTTCTAATACAGGCAGAACATTGTCCTGATCTGATAAGTACCTGCATTGGAAACTACTTGGGAATCTTGTGGAAAATTGAATTTCATCAGAGAAGAAAGATTGGATGTAAATAAAACAATTCCCAATGTCGAACAAACAAAACTCTAAGAGAAAATGTATTTAATACATATCATTAAAATATGAAAAATACATTTGTTGGTTATCTGCCTCCAGAAGCGGTGAATGCTCCAACACTGGAAGTTTTCAAGAGGAAACCGGACAGCCATTTGTCCGAAGTGGTATAGGGTTTCCTGCCTGAGCAGGAGGTTGGACTAGATGACCTCCAAGGTCCCTTCCAACTTTATCATTATTATTATTATTAGTTTCATGACTGTTCATTTTCTGATTCTTCATAGAGGAATATGTATTTCTGAACAGCAAATGAATGATGCAATGAAATTTCAGTGCAATAAAACATGATTACAGATGGCATGCCTGTTTATTTTACTGAGCACATAGAGAATTCTGTAGAACTTGCAACCCTTGAAATTTGCCTCTGTACTCATGTTCATTAATAAGATTTCTTCAGAAACACATAAACTAGCTAACCTCAGATAATAGATTGTTTAATGATTATTGCATAGTGTGTGTGCTTTAGATTTCAAAATGTATCAGATCATAATTAAAGTTCCCTTAGTTTTAATGGCAAGCAACTTTCTATCTATGTATTTTCATATCATTGTTAATTGTAGGTTACAGAACAAAGTTTACTCTTCATATGAAAATGCCATTTATTATTTTGTATCTTAATTTCTCAATTAAAAATTCTGAATGACTTATAAAATGAATTAAAATAGGAGGTAATTAACTTAGTACTATTGTGTGTCCACAGACTTAAAAGAACTAATGTCGACTTAAGGCTTTCAAATTCCCTTTGTATACAAAGGCAGTAAGATCCTTCCCTCACATGGAATCTTTGTTTAAAACTCTTCCGTTATCTGGACATAATTATATTAGTGCTACAATTGTTAAAGAAAATCAAATGAGGAAATTGACATCACAGGAAGACCATAACTATCCATTATTGAGATTGGCTAATAGCAATCACTACTATACGATGCTATACAAAGGAGAAGAAATAAGGGCAGATGAGGACTTAAAGAAACAAAACCTATCACAGTTAAATGCCCAAAGGTGAATGATTAATGCACCAATAATAATAAGGGAAATTTGTGATGCTATAAAAAAGATGAATAAAAATAAATCCCATGTTCCAAATGGATTATTGACATTTTATAAATATTTTCCAGATGAGTTTTTATTACCTTAACAAAAAAAAAATGATAAACTCCATTTTAGATAATGGAATCATTCTAGGTAGTTGGGTAGGAGCATATATAGCAGCGATTCCAAAAGGCTAGGATTTGATTTTGTCAAAAAATTATAGGCCAGTATCATTACTTACTAATAATTATACAATCTTCACAACGATTTTAACTGAAAGACTGAAAATGTTTTTGACGATTTTATTCATGAAGAACAGTGAGGGTTTTTTTTAAAGCCAAGAGACAAGAGATAACATTAGAAATGTTGTTAATGTATTGGAGTACTTGGCATAACATAGTGAAAAACAAGCTTAATATTTCTTGATGCAGAGAAAGCTTTTGAATGGTTTTTCTATTTCAAATTTGAAAGATACCAATTTTGGAGAGAACTTTTATTATATGGGTGACATCAATACATTTTCACAAAGGACACAAATAATTGTGAATGACCAAGCTCTGAAATATAGAAACAAACGAGGCAGGGATGCCTGCTTTCTCCATCGTTATTCATTCTGGCTCTTCAAGTTTGGGATAAAGACATGAAACGAGACTTACTGGACTGAAAGTTAAGAAAGAAATTTATAAACTAAAGTTATTTGTTGATGATTTGGTTCTAATTTTGGAGAAGAACCGAGAGAAGCAACCTAGAACTAAGGAGAAACTTCCTGACAGTGAGAACAATTAATCAGTGGAACAGCTTGCCTCCAGAAGCAGTAAATGCTCCAACACTGGAAGTTTTTAAGAAGAGACTGGACAGCCACTTGTCTGAAATGGTGTAGGATTTCCTGCCCGAGCAGGGGGTTGGACTAGATGACCTCCAAGGTCCCTTCCAACTTTACTAATATGAACATAAGGGTAAATTTAGTAATGGAAAAACTAAGAGAATTTGATGCAATGGCTGGATTTAATATTAGCAAGGGAAAAGTTCAAAGATACTGACAAACAACATTAAGATAAGACGAAAAAGATGTGAAAAGTTTTCAGATTGAAAAAAAGTGAAAATTTGGTATAACTAATGTGAACTGTATGAATTCATGTCATAATAATGTTAAAGTATGGAATGAAATTAAGAAGGATTTATTTGGATGGAAAAAATTACAATTCTCATTGTTTGGAAGAATTTTTATGATAAAAATCCACTCCTTTCCCTCTTGTATCCCAGTGGATCAAGGAGGATCCTGCCTGAGTCTCTTTTGATACTATCTTTCCCCTCAAATTTTAGGGTAAGTTTCAGCCCACTGCTTATCTGATGGTTCTTGCCTATTTCCTTTAAGGTCATCTCCCTACCTCTCTGTGCAAGTATGAAGAACATTCTGTATCAGTATTATCAAAAACACTGTTTGGCAACCTCTAAAGCAGTGCATTTGATGCAAATCAGTTGTCAGGTTCACTTGAAATAGGTGACCCTTCAGCTATTTAAAGACAATATATGTTGAAATATGTATTTTATTTAGACTTAAATGCCACCTTTCCTCTAAATATAGAGGACAACCTTCCAGTGTCTTGAGATTACACTGCTGTACATTTTAATGATGTGACTTGGAACAGTTTGTGTGTGTGTGTGTGTGTGTGTGTGTGTGTGTGTAAAGATGCCTTCATTCCTATTCCCAAAAGTAATAGCCAAAATGCCGAACTATAGGCTCCAAAATTAAAGGCAAGCCCTTGTGATCACATTGCCACAAAATTGGAAACCTGTGGTTTGATCTCCAACTCTTCAAAAAGTTACTCACTTTGCTTTGAAAGTCAAGTTGCTGCAGTAGAACTCCCTTTCCCTAATTTATGGCTTCATCAAGACTGCAAAGTAGGTTGGACTGAGAACCAAGGAGGAGCCCAAATACACCCAGTAAATTTCTATGGTTAGCTGAGCACTTCATCCTGTATATGCCTGGTCTCCATTCAACACTGGCTGTTAAGTGACTTGTGCTACAAATAAACTGGAAGTCAATCTAGATTTTACTACAGCAAGATATAATCCATAGAGTGAATATCAGTTAATAATTTAGCTATTACATTCTGATTATTTTAGAAGAGTTCCCAAATGTATCCTCATTCCTTTGCCCATGAAATTCATTACAGCAATAAAATCTTGAATGGATTATCAAAGCAAGAATTTTTCCATTGGGGCAGATACCTATGCTGGCCTTTCAATATTCATACTAAGGGTCAGATTTACACACACACACACACACACACACACACACACACACACACACACACACCTCTCTTATTGGATACTTAACACCATCAAAATTGGTGGAATGCAATCCATATCTATAATCAAAGCAAGAAAATCTGGGTTATAACTGCTCTGAACTCATTTAACGTGTTAATGATGCACAAAATAGAGAAAATAAATCAGAGCACCGTATCCCATTTCCCAGTTACAAATAAGATAGTATACTGTATATTCACCAGTACCACAGAGAAGATGTGCTAATTTGATAGTTCTTGCCACTCCACCAACACACAAATCTCCTACATACTTTTTGCTAATAGAAAACATATGCAGTTCTGGGTTGAATTTATGAGAACTCAAAACACTCAAAACAGCAGCTAAATTATTAATTGCTACTCACTCCATGGATTATATCTTGCTGGTAATACTAAAATCTCCACTGACTTCCAGTTTATTTCTAGCACAATCCAACTGAAGCCAATGTTGAATTAAGAACAGGAATATGCAAGTTCACAGTTAGCCATAGAAATTCACTAATGTATATGGGCTATTGGAATGAGAAGAACATTTCTGCTTTTACATAGTGCATCTCTGTGGGATGGTATTTTCAGTTACACTGGCCACCAGGAGGCACAATGTAACCAGTTTTATTGTACTGTGACTTTTCAATTGTGGGTAGGTGGGTTCAAGCTTCCTTACAGTACTAGATTCATGGTTCCTTGATCTTCCCACTTTAGAGTGGGAAGAGTGCATTAGCTTTATGAGCTAATTCCCATCCTTCCTTTCAAAGAAAAGGGATGGAAGCCATATAAAACCATGTACACGAGAGCATGGCATATTATAATATCTACATGTCTCTAAGAAAAGGTGGACTTTACGCACCCTTGTAAGAATTTCAATATACTCCTCCATGCAGCCTCTGAGTACCAGGATCTGGAAAGTTGCTCATGTACTGACATCTGCAGCATCATAATTTCAAAAAGAACCTAAGATTATCCCTGCCGGACATTCCTTGTTTACCATCGTATTTTGCCAATTTTTTGTTTATTTATTTGTATTTCACATTTCGTAACGACCCATCTACCTCAAAAGGGCTCTGGGAGGTGTACAATATAATCAACAAAATTAGACATTAAAAATAGAGCAATTTGGGATGAAAAGTTTTAAAATTATAAAAACATTATAAAAATGTCAGAAGGTGAAGAATTCCAAGATGGTGAATTAACTGTAGTTAATACAGGCGGATAGGAGATTCTCATGGGACCAGCAATCTTCATAGATGTGTAGGTCACTGTGTTCCCCTCGCAAGGCTACATACAGTAGCCACTTTTTCACCCCTTTGCGGAAGGCCAAAAGATTGGGGGCTTTCCTCACCTCTGAGAGCAATGCAAGGGCAGCAGCAGAGAAGGCCTTCCTCCTAGACCCCACCAGTCAAAATCCTTTAGTGACAAGTTCTGTAGTATACCTTGCCTGCCTGAACGAGTGAGGTGGGCTGATGCTGTTTCTATAGGGAGCCTGGCCCTATGCCATGTAAAGCTTTATAGGTAACAACTGACACCTTGAATTGGGCCTGGAAGCAAATTGGAACCCAGTGTAGTTCATGGAGCAGTGTTATATGTGCCCTTCTTTGGGCACCCAGTATGGCTCAAATGCTCATATTCTGCACCAGTTGAAGCTTTCGGATACTTTTCAAGGATAGCTCAATGTAGAGCACATTACAATAATCCAATCAGGAGATGACCAGGGCATAGGTAACTGAGTGGAGGGTCTCCCTGTCCAGGAAGGGGCATAACTGGCATACAGTGTGAAGTTGGGCAAAGGACTTCCTGGCCACGTAGCCTAAAAAAAAAGCCAGATGCACATTAGGGTCCATTGTTGTTGTTGTTAGTTGCGAAGTCGTGTCCAACCCATCGCGACCCCATGGACAACGTTCCTCCAGGCCTTCCTGTCCTCTACCAATTACACTTCATCCTACTTGCCCAACTTTGA